ACAAAAAGAAAGTAATATTTATTTTTAAATATCTATTCTTTATACTGTTCAGGATATCGTGCATGATGTCGAAATGATCATATTATTTCAATTGTGCGTTAGATTTCAGCAGATTCCGGTAATGTTCCATTTTTTGGATTTTTATCTAGATTATTCATATCCTCGTCATCATTGATGTAAAAAAAAGTATCATTCATGTTATCATCTTTTTCTTTAAAAACAAAGACAATAGAATTTGGATCAATCTTATCAAAAATATTATGATATTTTTTGTTGATAATAAAACGATCGATACACATCTGTAGTATAATAACTTTAATTGTATCAAAATGTAATCGATTTCAACGATAGTGACAGATATCTCGAAAGCTATTAAAGAAACGTTTAACATTAACATTATTTGTTGCGATTGTTAGAAAGTTTTTTGTTATATGATAGAAGATCGGAAATTGGTTTTGATGAAATTGTCAGTAGATAATAATATTAGTTTGATTTGTAATATTTTATTATCAGTAAACAGAATAAAAATATAAATTTATCAATAAAACTATTTATTTTTAACATCAAGATAGACCTTAAGCTTTTCAAAGGTTTCTACAGAGAATGCAAGTCTTCGTCATTTTGAAAAATGAAAAAAGGCTTTATTTAGATCAAACAATGGATCTGAAATAGTCGATGATGTGTTCACATTAAGATTCTTGTCGCGATAATAATGAAAGACTTTCTTAAAAATTATTCAATATTCTTGATATCAATCAATATCATCATCTAGTTAGATAGCAATTTTGAATTTCTCAAGCTTGAATGTAAGATCTAGAATGATTGTAATAATATAGATATAATCTATTATTTGATATATTTGTCGATAATATTTCCGAAGCTTTTTATGAACTTTTTTTAAACTTTCAAGAATCTGTTGTTTTCAAAAGATTTGTTTGTTCCGAAAACGGTTGATTGCAAGATCCAAATGATTAAATAGATCGTTATAGATATTATAAATTTTATGAATAATCGGGCCAGTATTTTCTGAAAGACAGAAAGTAAAGATGTAAAAAGAATAAAGAAGTTTTAGAAGATATTTCAACTGTTTTCATTTAATTAATGTAGAATGAAAATGATCAATATTCTGACTATCTCAATGCTAGATAAAACTTTCAATTGATTGACAAAGCTTTAATGCTTTTCAAATCATAAGATAAGCAGAATTCTATCAGATTTTACAATCAAGAAAAAGATAATATACGGACCCAGATTCAAGACGTTGTGTAAGTTAGAATCTTTTTCGATATTGAAGACTAACGTTCACGAATTTAAACAATCTTTCAAATCTAAAAAGATTAAAAAAATTTATAAGATTTATATCAATATTAAAAGATTTACAAAGAAGATTAAATACCTTTTTAATGATTTATAAGATATCACTAAATAATTTCAGTGTTTCATCACTATAGTCTTATACATAAAAAACAGCATCATTCTCAACTACAATCCGTAACTTGTTCATAAAGAAAATAACAACAAATTGAATAACATAAATAAGACAAAAAATATGATATTGATTCCGAATGATTTTAGAAAGCTCAAAGTCGATAATAGTATTCTGGAGCTGAATATTTTCATTTAATTGCGTGTGAAATTGCTTTGTAAAAAAAAAGAAAAGAATATTATTATTATTCACATTGTTTGTTGTCACATCTAATAAGCGATAACATAAATTATGTTTATAAAAAACAGAAAATACAATATTAACAAAGATTTCATCTATATAAGAATCAGATACTGATCGAAAGTCCAGAATAATTTCATGATAATCCATATCTTTTGTTAAAAAATATCTTGTTAAAACAAGAAATGTTTTTTGATTTGGATTTGTCCAACAATCAATTACAATTGACATCTTATCCGACTATGAAAATCGCGAAAAAAATTATGTATGTATTTTATCTGATAATTCGATTAATCTTTTTTTAATTTGCTTTCGATTTGGAATTTTTGATTTATAAAATAATAAAACAATAAAAAGATTGATTATTTGTTTAAACTGGATATATTTGACGATTCGAAAGGATAAACAGCAGACAATAATAAAGCAAAAGACTTGATCACAGAAGTCTTGGTCAAAGAAGATGATTATAGAACTTTAATAAAAAGATATTATTAATATAATTTATTATAATCAAAAAAAATACTCTATCGGTATTTCATTTAACATTTGAGTGATGATTCGTTTAGATATAATAAAAGAAGATTTTTTCTTACAATCTTTTCGAACATGATAGAACATTGAACTAGTTCCGAAATTCTCAATTGATAGATATTGAAATAAATAAGAACAAAAAACATATAAGATATAGAGAATTTTATCAAGAAATTTTGCAACTTCATAGAATTTATTTCATACAATTGATGATCTCTTCCAATCGAATTGAATTAATGGCTTTTTAGTCTTTTTTTGTGTCTCAGCAAAAAAAATAACATTTCATTATTCTTTGAAAAAAGTAATCTTTTTTGGATCTCTTGAATATTGAATGATCTTTTGATTTTTGAAAAAATGTATGAAAATAAGATCAGAGAACAAAGAAAGAAATGAAGAATTGCTAATCTTTGTTAGAATCTTGTTATTTGTAAAAACCTGCGAGATAAAGAAGAATGACATAATAATATTTTAGGAATCCAGATCAACTGAATATGATAGATTTGTCATAATAAAAAGTAATTCATTGAAAATGGCATAGATATTGGAAAATAAAAATGAAAGATTTTCAAAAGACATAATGTTAAATAAACAAATAAGAAGAATGTGTCGCGAAACACAACTCAAAATAATATATCATATACACATTAGAATAACATTTGTGATTCAGATATCTAATAATCACACAAATGCCAGTCCAAAAGACCAAAAACATTAAAAATCAGAAATAATATATGGTGAATAAGATATTTTAATATAAAAGATGGATATAAATCATAATATTATTGTTACACGTTATTAATTTAATATTTACAATAGTGATAATACTAGAAATCTGAATTTAATACTGATAACACAAAACAAGATATGTATTTGTTATATATTCCTGTTCTGTATCTCGAGATAACAACAATCATTTAAAAAAAATCATATTTATATTAGTTGCACTATAGATAATGTCTTTTCTTCAAGCGGGCTAGAATAGAAGACAGTTTTTTTTATTTATTATATTTTTTTCGAAATTAAAAAAAGTTGCTGATATGGATTTCTAAAGGATCGGTTAAGGTGGTCAGGTTAATCGTGGTTAACCGTCGTCTATCTTTAATCGAGCTAGGCCCGAATAGATAAGGTGCATGTTGCTTGGCGCCAAGAGCGGTTAATCCGGTTAACCGTTGCGTTTTTTTTTATACCTTGGGCAGGTAAAGATGAACCCTCTAACCTAACCGTTAACCGGCAGTCAGGTTATGGATGAGGCCTGTAACCTGACCTACCCTCCCCTTTGCCCACTCTACTTTTTTGTATGGGCGCCTATAGTAAATATTTATATTTTAACACTTTGTAAACTTTTGTTAAGAATATTCTTATAATACATTAAAATATAATTATTTTTATTGGTAATATAATAAAGTTTTAATAATTAAATTTAAGCTTTTATAATAAAAATTATATAATACTATATAAATTTTTGGAGATAAATAAAATTTAAAAAGGTCAGTTTTGGCCGATTTTGGTGGGAAAATGCGAAATGTGGCCAGACTTTTGACCCGCGTTGTAAGTTAGCACGTATCCGCTTATGAAGCATCGGAACAGATCACTAATCAGTCAGCATCCCGTCGAAAATGGGTCCATCGTGCCCGCTGCAAGTTTTGGTTATATTATCAACTTAGTTATGTCGAATCTCTTCCGACTTCTTTATAAAGATCTGAGACCATACTTTGTGTCATGGTTTGTCTTTTGATATATGGACCAATTGAAATCTTGGTCCAGTGAATTGAATCTTGGTCATCATGCCGTCCGTTTTATCTCAAGCAGTCAAGTTGCCTTGTGGACTAATTTTCCCCAATCGGCTGTCCAAGGTAAGAACTTTTTTACAGGGAGGGGGAAAATGAATAATCTAAAGACACATGCTTACAAATATGCAGGCTGCAATGGCCGAGAACTTCGCCAAGTCAAACAATAGTCCAAATGAGGACTTCAACAGGGCCTACAACAAGTGGAGTGAGGGTGGATGGGGCATGATTATCACAGGTGAGCCTATGCTCTACGTACTCGACGAAAAAGGACAAAACAAAGCTTATCCGAACCATTGGCAGGAAACGTGCAAGTCGATATTGACCACCTCGGGAACTTTTCGGACCCTGCCTTTCAGGGCTTACCGAAGAAAAATGCGGTGTCAAGCGATAAACATCTGGAGTCGTGGAAGAAATATGCTACAGCCAGTCAGGAGCATGGTTCACCCACCATTGTCCAAATTTCCCACCCCGGAAAACAATCACTGCGTGGCGCAGGGCACAGAGGTATTTTTGCTTCTACGATGGCACCAAGCGCGGTTCCGTTGGCAATAGGCACTAGCTTCTTAGATTCTGTCGTTAGTTCTCTTGCCTTTCCAAAGCCTCGAGAAATGACGCTGGGGGACATTGACAGAGTGATTCGTCTATTTGTGGACACAGCCCGTATGGTGGCGGACAGTGGGTTTTCTGGGATTGAGCTACATGCTGCTCATGGTTATCTCCTAGGTAAGCCGGACACATATCTTTCTTGACATGCGTTGGCTCATCATACTTTGCTGGAAAGATCAATTCCTAAACGCTAAGGTTTGTTGGACTTAAGAAGCTTCACTGCGAATTTAACTGATTTCCTACGACAGTCTAATCTTCGCACCGATGCATATGGAGGCACTCCAGAGAAACGAACGAAGCTTCTTTTGGATGTCCTGAAAGGATGCCGAAAATTCCTCCCGGACAGTTTTTGTATCGGAGTGAAACTTAACTCCGCTGACCATGGAGCTGCAAATCTGGAAGATATAATGTCTCAGATAGGCCTGCTTGTCGCAGAAGGCATTGATTTCCTCGAAATCAGTGGCGGCACATATGAGAACCCAAGAGTAAGTGACAGCAGGTAAATTCGTGACTTTATACCGAATGATCACTGATATAATCTGTCTATCTGTCTATATTGTGTAGATGGTCGAGGGTGATAAGTCACAGACAGTACAGAAGAGTGTACGAACCGCAGCTCGCGAGGCCTTCTTCATTGACTTTGCGAAAGAGACTCGCAAGCGGTATCCAAATCTAGTTCTGATGTTGACCGGCGGTTTTCGCAGTCGATCTGGTGCAGAGGCCGCGATCAAAGAGAACGCCTGTGATATAGTCGGTATAGCGCGTCCAGCGGCTGTTTATCCTAACTTCCCGAAACTGCTTTTAGAGGAAAGCAAATCATATGAGGATGCACATATCACACTGAGTCGAGTACAACCTGGCTTCCTTCCCAAGCTCCTTCGTAGCCAAATTCTAGGTGCAGGTGCTGAGACTGTAAGTCTGTTGGCACCGTTTCAGGGCTTCAACTATCATTGAGATTGCGAACGCTGACCTCAAACCCAGACTTTCTATGCTAACCAGATTCACCGATTAGCGAAGGGGAAGACCCCATTCGCTCCTGCCTCTGTATAGAAACAGGAGCCATTTCATCGATTTCTACGCGGCAGTTAGCTAATACCATGATCTTCTTTTATACAGATAAAATAATTGTATCATATAATAGCACTTCATGTTAAATTTCAAAGAAAAGAACGGGTTTCTTATGTTCGCCCGAGTTGGAATCCAGTACGAATCGGACCTATTACTAATCCACCAGCTGGCAGAATTCAAAAATTTGTTCAGGGACCATAAGGTGGTCAGCTTCAATGAGACGGAGCAGCGAGACGGTTGGAGTTGGTACTCTTTGCCTGACACAGGTCGTGGTATATAGACTCGGAAAGCGGCCGGTGGAAACGCACGGGGGATCTTATGACAATAGTTGGCGTATATCACCTGACGAACAATTTCACCAATATCCGCCTGTTGCCTCAGGCTTCATAGCTTCCCTCGCTTGCCTATGTAGGATGTTGCTAGGAGGCCCCGTTCCAGGTCCCGTGGACACAGTAGGTAGCTATCCTGCAGACAATCGCGTCAGCAGCTTATTTTAGTTAGTTAATTAGGTGTAACTAGTGAATCCCTGACAGACCGAGAAGCGAATCAACAAAATAAAGAGATCTATATTCATAAAAGTCATAATTATAAGTCCACATACTCCCCCTGCAAGAACTCGTCCTTCGCCACGCGATCGAGATAATCAGACACCTTGCCTGTCAATACATCAATTTCATATCCGAAGTACTTGTAGGCCGCCTTGCCCGGCAAGCTGTGTCCGAAGCGCTGGATAGAGACGCCTGCCGTGGCGTATCGCTCCCATCCGTTCGGCGCGTAGGGCTCGATGACCACGGCTGGCGTTCCGCGCTTCAGGACGGACCGCTTGTATTCGAGGGACTGGCGCTCGAAGAGTCGCTGAGACGGAAAACTGATCACTCGTGCCACGATGCCCTTCTCCTTGAGCTGCTTCGCCACGTCAAGGGCGAAAGATAACTCCGCGCCTACTCCGATGAGCGTGACTGCTGCGTCCTCGGCTTCCTCGAGGACGTAGGCACCGCGGAGGACGCCGTCGCGGCGAGTTTGCTTCAACTGAGGGAGAGTGTGTCGGGAGGTGGAGATAATGCTGGGTGTCTTCTTGGCCTCGATGGCGGCAATCCAGGCGCCTGCCGTCTCCTCGCTGTCGCCGGGTCGGATGTACAGCAGGTTGGGCATGGCGCGGTACAGAGCGGCCAACTCGATGGGCTGATGCGTCGGACCGTCCTCGCCCATGCCGATGGAGTCGTGCGTAGCAACGTGAATAATCTGGAGGTGCTGTAGGGCGCCCATGCGCACAGCGGGGGCGGCGTAGAGGTAGAACATGAAGAAGGACGAGGTGACGGGAACGATGGTGTTAGGGGCGTAGGCAGCGAGACCATTAGAGATAGCTCCCATGGCATGCTCGCGCACTCCGTAGTGGATGTAACGACCGGAGTAGTCTCCATTGATTCCGCAAGTGGTGCGTAGATCAGGCTGTCTGGTCAGTAAGGTGGAATTGAAAGGAGAGTGAGGTGAAAATCAAAGTAATGTGAAGGACTTACATGCTGGAAATCAACCTTGCCAGGCCAGATCATGTTGACGGACGGCGACAGATCAGCGGTGCCGACCATAAATGACTCGCACTCCTTGGCAATGGGGTTGAAGACAAGACCGGATGCCGCGCGAGAGGCCGTCGGCTTGTCTGGGAAGCTGGTCGGAATCAATTCCTTCCAGTTGGAGGGCAGTTCACCGTTCACCCGGCGCTGGAACTCGGCTCCCAGCTCGGGGAAGTCGGCCGTATACTTCTGAACGAGATCCTTCCACTCCTGTACTAGGGACTCTCCACGGGTGGGAAGATCCTGGAAGAAATTCCGCACAGTCTCTCCAATGACGAATAGTTCATCCGGGTTAAATCCAACGTCCTTCTTCATCTGAGCAACGTTGGGTGCGCCAAAAGCAGCACCGTGAGCGGCAGCCTGGCCGGCCACGTTGCTACCTAGTCCGATCACAGTGCGGACGTTGATAAAGGTGGGCTTGTCCGTGGCAGCACGAGCACGCTCCAAGGCCTGCACGAGGCCCTCGATATCAAAGCACCCGTCCTCAACATCAATGACATCCCAGCCGGATGCGCGCATCTTCGCGTTGATATCCTCTGTGTTGGTCAGGTCGACCGATCCATCGCAGGTGATCTGGTTGTTGTCGTAGATAACAGTCAGGTTGTTAAGCTTGAGGTGACCGGCGAACGAGATGGCCTCCAAGCCAACACCCTCTTGCAAACAGGCGTCACCGATCATACACCAGGTGTGGTTGTTGACGAGATCGTATCCCGGCTGGTTGAACTTCGCTGCCAGGTTCTTCGTGGCCATGGCCAGTCCAACCGCATTGGCGACTCCTTGTCCCAGAGGGCCAGTGGTGACTTCGATGCCGTCGTGCTCGATTTCTGGGTGACCGGGACAGAGCGCATCCGTCCGATCCGAGTGGTAAGACTTGAGCTGCTCAAAGGTCATAGCCTTGTATCCGGTGAGATGCAAGAAGGTGTATTGGAAGAGACAGGTGTGGCCGTTGGAAAGGACGAATCGATCTCGATTGAAGTAGTCGGGAGTATGAGGAGCGTAGCGCATGACATATCGCCAGAGCGCGACACCGATGGCAGCCATACCAATGGCTCCTCTGAGCAGTGTTAGGTTTTCTCATTGTATGACTTCAGCGACAACGTACCCAGGGTGACCACCGCCGAACTGCTGGCAGAGATCGGCAATGAGCATGCGGAACGTTTTCAGGACGAGATCATGGTCCTTGGACTTTTCGCGCAGCAGCGGCAAGGCGGACTTGCCGCTAGAACCGTTCACAATACCGACAGCCATGATGTTTGTGATTAATTTGATTTCCCATCATCTGTTGGGGGTCGAGCCATCTTTATAACTGTTGCGGGCGACGAAAAGTTGCCCGATCGGGTAAGCCGAGGCGCTGCTCTGGTGATCCTGAAGAATCAGGTAGGCCGTGCCTCAGGTTTCCAGTTTCATCCAGTCGATCTCCACATTCGTTTCCCCTCATTTTCTTCATCTCCGGATAAGAAGTATCCATCGCAAAGTCTGGGTGCCCCTCTTGAGGATCCATTCTACACCATCATGTCTCCATCGCTGGTTGACCTCCCTGTCACCACCACCAAGCCCACTCTTACTATTGCCCTTCCTAATCCCTCTTTACAAGTCACTGCAGACCACAACATCAAGCTCGTCGAGGCTCCTGTTTACGCTCCTCAGCGAGGCCAAGTTCTCCTTCAAATCAAAGCAACGGGAATCTGTGGATCCGACCTTCACTTTTGGAAATCCGGCCGCATCGGTCAACTCGTCTTCGAGGATGACTGCATCATCGGACATGAAGCGGCGGGTGTAGTTCTGAAGTGTGGCGAGGGAGTGAACAATTTACAGCCTGGTTCGCCCAAGCCCTTATGAGACCATGCTCTTTATTCCGACATGTCAATACTGATGACGGCAGGCGACCGAGTGGCCGTGGAACCGGGAGTTCCTTGCGAAAACTGCTTCCTCTGCGACGATGGACGGTACAACCTCTGCGAGGACGTTCAGTTCGCCGGTGTGTATCCGTACGCCGGCACAATCCAACGATACAAAGTCCACCCGGCCAAGTGGCTTCACAAGTGAGCAGACACCTTAGATGTATGTGAGGATGGATATAACAGCCCAGCAGACTGCCAGACAATGTGACGTACGAAGAAGGCGCCCTTCTCGAGCCACTGTCAGTCGTCATGCGAGGCATGCAAGTCGCTCGTCTCCAACTCGGTCGCGGCGCCGTCATCTGCGGTGCCGGTCCTATTGGACTGATTGCTCTGGCGGCCGCACGAGCCTCGGGTGCGCATCCGATCGTGATTACCGACCTTGATGCTGGTCGATTAGACTTCGCCAAGCGGTTCGTGCCGAGCTGTATCACATACCAAGTCGATCGGTCACTGGATGCGGAGGGGAACGCCAAAGGCATTCGGGCACTGTTCGGATCGCAGGAATACTTTGCGCCGGAGACGATACTAGAGTGTACGGGTGTGGAAAGTAGTGTTTGCACGGCGCTGTATACCGCTCGTCGGGGAGGCGCCGTCGTGGTGATCGGCGTGGGTAAGTCCGTGATGAACAATTTGCCGTTCATGCACATTTCCATGGCAGAGGTAAGTTTTCCTTTCATGACAGTGACTGGTTCGAATAAGCTAAGGAGCAGATCGATTTGCGTTTTATTAATAGATATCGTGACACCTGGGCTCCCGGTATTGCGTGTCTGTCTGGTGGAATTCTAGATCTCAAGCCATTGGTGTCGCATACCTTCCCGTTGGAAAAAGCGATGGACGCGTTGCAACTGTGCGCGAACCCCAAAGAGTCCAGTATCAAGGTTACCGTGGTAGATGCAGTAGACGCCACTCGAGAGAAGCTAGAGCCATAGGTAGAGACCTCGTATAAGATCAGCCACTGGAGGCGCCAAGGATAAGGTTCTTTGTCCCATGTCAATCATCCATGGCTCTCTCTAAATAAAGTCCACTTCGATAAACAATCCAAACCTAGATGTGGCTGCAAGAACAATATTAACGAAATAGAGCTGGACAAGCATTTTCCACCCACGGTACGAAGTAATACTTCCTGTAGAAATTTCGAGCCTTTTATCTTTTTAGATACTCCAGCTCATCATTGCTGGACCAAAGTACATCCTGTGCAGTTTTGAAGCCGTGCTGCCGAGTCCTCGCAATGTCCAGAGTAGTTGTCGTCGGTGCAGGTAATTCTGGCTTATTACTCTCGCGATATTTCCTATGCTGACTGACTGGCATTTTCAAGGCTTTTACGGGCTAATCGCCGCCAAAACATATCGCCTGGTGGCGTTGAATGATAAAGAACCAGAGAATCTGGGCATCTACGCAAGCGAGGTGCCGCCGTGCTTCGCCCAATCGTCCGCAGACAGCGGCCCTGCTCTGCTCATCGTGGATGCTGCCTCCGGACTGGGAGGGACCTGGTCCTCCGAGCGACTTTATCCGAACCTCCTCAGCCAAAACTCCTATGGGTTGTACGAGTTTAGCGACCTCCCCTTGGCCTCAGTGGTGCCTCCGGATCCAAAAGATGCGGATAATCAGTTCATTGCAGGCTGGAAGATTAACCAATATCTGCACGTGTGGAGCCAAAAATGGGATCTTCTGAAGCATATGCGATTCAATTGGAAGGTTGGTCTTGTATAACAAGGTCCGTCGGCTCTATATTAAGATCCACAGGTTACCAAGATCGGCAGGCTGCCGAGTAAAGAGTGGAGAATAGAAATCGAAATACTCACCAACAACACACCGTCCCGGACCATCGTCCTACTGTGTGACAAGCTGATGCTAGCTACCGGTTTGACGTCTCAGCCCTTTTCCCCGGATATACCTGGTTGCTCGGACATCCCGCGAGTCCATGCCAAGGACGTTGGAAACTACTGCCGAGAGAACTTTGGATATCATCCGGTTCCAAGTTGTGACAAAGCATCATCTGGGGAAGAATCAGACGATCATCCAGTGGAAACCCGGACTCTTCGCAGGGTAGCGATCCAAGGGGGCGCCAAGTCATCCTTTGATTTCGTTCATCTGTTTGCCTCCCTTCATCGAAATAGCCCTGAGCTGCAACTGACACTGAAGCATGAAGAGCCAGTTGAGGTTCATTGGATTATTCGCGACCAGGGTTCGGGAGTGGCCTGGATGGCTCCTCCGATGGCAAAGCTCCCGAATGGACAATCTGTTGCCAGCGACAAGCAAGCTAGTACCAGGATCTGCGGGCTTCTCACACCTTGTGTATTCTCACTGCCCAAGCGAGTCACCTTAGTCCCGTCTCAGTCTAGACTAGGGTGGAGTCTGCGAATGGAAGGGTCTTGGACCAGGAGGTGTCTTCACGGTAACTTTGTAGGGCGGTTTATCGTACGGCAACTGTGGAAATCGGTCGATTGTCAGGTGCACCGATCCGCCGATTACACATCGAATTCCAAGATGGAAAAGCTGCGTCCAGCGAGGGGGTGAGTAGAGTTCGCTGGTAATATTCGCTCGCTAATGTGACCAGGATAATTGACTGCGCTTCGTCAGGAGGCATTGCGAACCATTTCGATCTATGGGAAACTATCCGCTCTTCGAATGTTCATGTGCACCGATCGGAGATTCACAATGTTTCTGGATCACCACCCTCCGATATCAAACTGACCAATGGCACACAAATACCGTCTGTTGATCTCATCGTGCAAGCCACGGGCTATAAACCCATAGTACCGATCGAATTCGATCCGCCGGGTCTAGGGGAGACGCTTGGGTTAGGCTCTGACCGACCCGACAGCGATACAGGAGAACTGAAACAGCGATATCAAAATGAACATTGGAAATCCTTCGATGACAAGGTCGAGTCTCATTTCCGTCGCGTTTTCTGCTCGAGTATGTTCTCGCGGGCCGAATCATCGCAGGATGCCACCCCCTTCCGGCTCTTTCGTCGCATGGTGTCCCCGGCGCTCGTGGCTGAAGGCGACCGCTCCTTTGTCGCGCTCGGCGTCGTGTTGACAGGGACCATTGCCGTCGTGGCTGAAGTGCAAGCGTTATGGGCTGCGGCCTTTCTCACTGGGGGGTTGGATGGCGATGCAGAGAGCCAAAGCCAGAGCCAAGGACCGATCCAATCACCATTGTCTCTCAACTCGACCGCCTCAGAGAGTCTGTATGAATCGGTGTCTGAAGATGTGATCTGGGCCAGGTTGACCGGGAGTGGGCTAGACATAGACGCGATTAACGTAGGTCATCCACAACGTTGAACCAGGTGTCGCTAATGAAGATCAGTATAACGACACGCTACTGCGAGACTTGGGACTGAATCCGTATCGCCTGGGAGGGGGTCTCTGGCGCGAGATGACCGGCGTGTATGGCCCAAATTCCTATAAAACGATCGTCGACGAGTACAAGGCAGGTCGGAAAGGAAGATGATTCTGGCTGCCTGAGGCATGAAGTAGGTGGTTGTTCTTGCCTATTTGGGAAGGCGCGACCCAGCATGTGGGGGACCAATCAGGAACTGGCATGTGGTCCAAGTGGAGCCCTCTGCGTTTACCCGGTCAGGCATTCTCAGGCACTGAGTTTGTTCCTGTTTGTTTGTGGGGGAGGAATTTATGGAATCATCGGTTAGAGATCTCCACTTGTCTATCTCGGCCTGTTATACTTGACATCATCACTCGGAATAAGATCGGTCTCCTGAATGAATGTTTATAATTGGACTGAACCGAGGTCTCTCAAGGTCGCTACGGTAATGGGCCTAGGGCTTCGGGCTCAACTATATCGTAATTCGACCACTATTGTAGCTGCCATACCGAAGAAGTTGAATTAAGTGGGTTCAAGATGATGTGTAACATGAAAATGAGATGAGAATGAGAAAAGAGCTGCCGCTAACAATGCCTGCCGAAGGTCGCAGCCCTTGAGCCAGGTCAATGTCTTCTCCCATACCTTGCCAGTGAAGTCATGCTTCCAAGATACCTTGCAGGTCAAACTCACATCTCAACATGTCTCTATATCTGTTGTTCTATGACATCTTAGGCAGCGTTTTCTGCAGCTGAGGCATCTACCCCGGACATGCACCCAGTTGTGCCCAACAACAGGGTTGATCCATGAGCGAGACCATCCAAGGGAGGGAATATCCGCAGATACGAGCTGCCGTCGTTATGGTGTAGGAACACCCGTTCCTGTGTCTCGCTGCGATTGGCTGCGCGTGTTTAACCTACTATTCAGGTTCCTTCCTGACAAACCTGTCATCTCCAGCGGGGAGTATCCACGATAGTTACTTTGCCCGTTCCCGAAACCATGAACGGCTGTACCAACTTCTCTCAGGAATCTTTCTTGGATATTTGACATCGCAAAGCTTTGTTTGAACATGTGGTTGGCTTTCACAAATTCAAGGTCATATTATGGGAAACGGTTCCAGCTTAGTTAACTGTTCGAATAAACAAGTCCTATTGCCGACCCCATTTCATCACATATGTGGCTAGCTGAATGGGTGTATGACCTTGGTAGAGAGGAAAGATCATTCATTCCACCTGATTAGGAAAGTCAAGCCCGGATCCGCACGGAGGTAGTCGTTGTGTATGTGTCTAGCGCGGTAACTGCATGAACCGGTGACCAGGGGTCTGTGTAGTGCTGACGCCAAGACAGACGTTGAAGCTGTTGAGCTCAGCTTGCATCTTGCCCTATGTTGCCTAACGTGCATGGAATGAGCAAACTGACCTTGTCGGGAACCTCTCTGGTAGGATGATTGAGTCTGATCGAGAATCTAGATCTTTTTCTCAGTGGCAAAGCCCGAGAACTATGACCTCTGAATATACAAGGAGTATACTCGGACAATGATCTTCGTAGACACCGTAAGCACCCGCCAGCCAGCCATGAACCATTGTCACAACTCTGTGGTGTGGTGCCTGTTCCAATTGCATTCCATTTTCACCACACGTCCGTATGGGAGGCTTGGATTCTCGAACCAGCATTGCAGTATCTGTCAGCCACGCTGCAGCTTGGGAAAGTCGTCACATATACTTCAGATAGGACAGCAGCCAGCCAGTTTGAGCACATGCATCCTGGGACTTGATTTGCTTGAGTCAGCAGTCCGAAAGCTACCTTGTAGAGATGGACAGCAGTAGAAGCACTCGAACGAGGGCGAGGATAAATTCGAGCCTGAATCCGCTTGATTTTCAACTCATCAGCATACATTCCAAACTACCATAGCAAGAAGATCAAAAAATCGGACTCGATACCTGCACAAGATGCTTTTCAAGTTCACCATCGTTGCCTTGGCCCTGATCGGACAATGCCTTGCGTCTGCCATCCGTATGTCTCACATCCAAGGCATTGAGCATAAACTTACTTGATCTCAATAGACAATATCGACCAACAGCAGACCCTCCTAGCCAATGGGGATGTCGGCGCTCTAGGCTGCACCGACGCTGGTCGTGAGAATCCGAACTGTATGTTCTCAGCTCCTCCATGTTGAATCAGAATCTTTGAGACATTCTCTGATTTCCTTCATCTGTAGGTGTCTGGTGCGGAACCGCCCCTTGGTGCAGCAGTGGCTGTCCCGGAGGCACTGTTCAACGAGGATGGGATGCCTGCGGCGTAGGCAAATGCTGCGTCGTGGGAATGAAGAGACTGTGTTGTTATAGTTGAGTTATCCCATTCCTGCAGATGAATGTAGAATTTCTTAAGACTGACCATCCAGGTTCCATGGCCAACGAGGAAGCCGCCCCGTCCGAGGAAGCTGAGGAGACTGTTGTCGAGCACTACGAAATCACCGTTGAGAAGACTGTAGACGTGCAGACTCAGCCCTCTATTGAAGTTGACGGTGGGAACAAATGTACGTACTGTGCCCTTTTCCTGCGAATTGGGAAGATGTTAACTGTACGCTCTCTCCGCAGGCGTCGTAGCCGGATTCGCTCCCTTTTGCGAGGGCAAGTGTCCCGATGGCTATAAGGAAAAGGCCAAGGGCCGTTGTCTAGGACCAGGCCCCTGCTGTCTCAGCGGGTCAAAGGCGCTGTGCTGCACTGACTAGGTAGATAGTCGACAGTTCATTAAACGGGGAAAGAAGCTTTTATGGTATTTGGCAGGGTATGAAGATGTTTAACTTGATTGTCTTCTTTGCTGTTGCCTTTTGACGCGTGATGTTCATTCCGGCTTAATCGGGGTGGCACAGTAGTTAACTCATGAGTGTGAATGCCACGTCGATCCGCTAATGTCCGAGAAACTGTTCGCATTGCTCTTGCTATAAGATAAAGTATCAAACACAAGAAAAGGATTACGAAACCTAAGAACAGACACCACGGACACAAACATACTCCATCACTTTTCAATTACCCCATCTTCAGTCTCAATCCATTTCTTTTCTTTCTCTTATCAACACTCTTCTCATCATCTCTACGGTCTTGTCTTTTCCGGTCGGGTCTCTTGCGCTTTTTCGAAGAAAATCGGACGCGCTATCCGTTGCTCTATTAGCAAACATGATGGTCAAGCACATACATTGCAAACCTTACATGGAGCACTTGAGTCGCACGATAGAGGAGATCCAATTGTTGGCTAGCGGTGAGACTGTCCGGATTCTGTTTCAGAGACTGCATCGTGTCCATGGCCCATTTGCGACAGTCTCGTCTAAAGTGGCCTGGTTTATCGCAATGCCAACATTTAATCGGTCCTTTCTGCAATAAACGTCAGTATCTAGTCTAGATACTTGAGAGGCTCTTCTTATCTTCTCGACTTTGCTCTCGGGCGCCATTGTGGGCGGTCGAAACACGGGCGCGAAGACGCGAAGCCGCACAGACAGCACCACGTACGCAGAGGCGGAGACAACACACGTAAAACAGTAACGCGATAGAGAGTATAGTGCGAGCGCAGACGTGCAAGGGAAACAGGTATCGCGTCAAGCAAGAGGCATAACAGAGGGCAAACCCGTTGCGAAGACGCAAGGAGAAGGAACAAGAGAAGAACAGTGACAATATCAGCTGCATTTGAGCGGAGGGAGGGGAGATCTGGAGCGTGATTCACCCGATTCGGTGAGGATCACCCCAATGTTGCGGGACTTTCAACGACAGGGTCGTTGAAGTAAGGTGGGTATACATGCTGGGTTCCGTTCACGATTCCACGGTTAGAGCTCCATAAATTTACTCGAAATTAGGACGAGAAGAATGATACGAGTGTACAGGATAGATTGATATACATCATGCAATACGAACTCTTGGCGATTGTTGTGCAAACGCCGTTTGAAAGTGTTAGGTATACCCAGCAAACTTCGAGGTCGAGTTGTACATCGCAGGGGTGGATTGGTGGGCCTGAGGCTGCGGGAAAAGCTTAGCCGTCGATCTCAGGCACCACATGTCCCACCGTTCCACGTGTTGGTCCTCCCGAGGGCTTAGTATAACTGACCAGGCGAGTCGAAGGGCCAGTGTAGTCATTATTCGTGGTGCCATTACTGCACTCAGTTATCGCTGTTTACGCTACTGGGTTATTCAGTGAGAAGACCCGTCTTTGAAAGGTCTCAAGGAATATGAATGGGAAGATGTGTCTTCATTACTATTACAAAAAAAGTGTATACATTGGAGGTAGTATCTGCCGTATCTGTCATCAACCATGCATGTGTGTGTGTGTGTGTGTGTGTAAATATAGGCGGTTCGTCTTCATGTAGACATCTTGACGATGACCACTAGTTTGACTCGACCACCAGACCGCGATAGCCACTGAGAAGCGTCACGGACCAGATCCTAGGAGATCATAATTCTATCTGTCAACTGCTTCCAGCAGCTGTAACATTCTGTAGGGAAAACCCGTGGGGTAAAAACCCACAGAAATCTCCTACTACACTCGGTATCCCATAAACCATATCACATCAATTCGATTTCCCCCTCTTTCACTCCTCGAAGCCCTCGCAACAGCGTGGGTCCTCTCATCAGAGTCTCAAAAGCCCCGTATCCACCACTTGAACCACCCCATATGCCGACCTATTCTTCACCCTGCCCGACGCAAAGTTGGCCCCATATTTCGCCCCGACCTTTGCCATCTGATCCACCCTTTTGTGGGCCACATGGTTCTTGTGTCCGGGGATCCAGTTGATCTCCACCTTGGCCCCTAAATCCTCCAACTTCCTCGCGATATCCCCCACCGTCGACGCTAAATCCTGCGTGCTCGGGAATCGCTCAGAATGCGTGTCTTCCAGACAGTGTATCGCATCCTGAGAGTCGGTGAAGACGCACACCCTATGTTCGTGCGTCTTTGTCGTTTTGTCCTCCTCAATCCGATCCACGGCGATTCGTAGCGCCGCACCAATCGCAAACAGCTTGAGGCACTTGATGCCCCAGAGGCCTTGCACCGCGTATGCACGGTCCACGAAGTCGTCGATTCGGTCGTCTGTGCTGTAGACGACGGCCGCGCCTGTCGATCCGGCAATGTTCTCGTTGAACGACCCGTCGGCCCAGAAGACGTGCCTGGAGTAAGTGGAGGGTTCGAACTGCGTTGAGTACGCTTCTTTGGCGTTCTGCAGTGCCGTGTCCCGGGACTCGATGGTCAGTATCCCTGGGAAATGGGCACGTGGACCGGGACTGGCTGGTTTTTGGCGTTCGGTGTACTCCTTTTTCTTCTGTTGCCAGTAGTCACGCTTTGGGGACGGGCTGCGGGATGTATGGCGGCTGCTGGTGGAGGAGGGAGATGCGCTTGATTCGGGCTCCGATGTGTGGTATGTGGTTGTGTCGCTGGTTCTGCTGATGCTGCTGCTGCTGCTGTTGGTGGTGGTGCTGGCGCCGGCGATGGTGCCGGTGGAAGAGGAGGACCCGGTTCGAGATCGTTTCTTGCCCTTTTTGATATGTCTTTCTTGTCTTTGGTTTGACTCGGGCTTTGATGGGAGGTGGGAGGTGGTGATGCCGCTGCTGATGTTGTTGGTGTTGGTGTTGTTGTTGGTCGTGGTGATGATCTTTGCCATGAGGTATGATATATGATGCACTTGAAGTATATTGGTATGCTACAGTATTTGTGCTCTCAAGGCAAGATCAAGACGCTATCGTGGAAGAGTAGTTGTAGTTGTAGCTATGAAGATGGGAAGGAAGAAGAGTCAAACGGGAAGGAGAAGTCGAGTCATCCTTTTGTCTTTGCGATGGATTTGCATATAGTTCTCGCTTATCCGGGCTCTTAATCCCATAGGTTTCATGACCATTTTGTTGAGTCAGTGTCAGGAATCATGCAGACAACCTCCCGGATGCTAGCTAATCTACTATGATGCTCGAGGATTCGTCGAGCTCGCGTTTCCTTCGCTCTTTCCCTCTCTATAGACATGAGAGATTCACTGCCCGTATTTATATTCCTGTCTTCACTTGCCTAGGAATCGTCCTTGTCTCATGGTGAATATGTGTCATAGCCGACTGCCCATTATGTCTTCATGATGCACCCTTCCCGTGCACCTCCAAACGCAACAAAGTCCACCCCCAACGGAAGGAGCATGTGACAGGCTTTAGGCAGCAGCCTCCTAACATCTAGCACTCTACCGGATGAATTCCTTGCACAAAATGTTGTATAAAGTCTCATTATGCTCATCTAATACTGTCATCAACTACCACCCAAAACGTACTCAATTTAACTCTAAGTCGTCGTAAGCTTCCATCACAGTCATTAGTTAGACGTGCAAGCCCTAATAATCGCTCAATATAGGATTTGGGTAGCTTAAGACGATAATCTGATATCCTAGTTACGCATGTAGTCCGCATACTATAGCCGTTAAGAAGATCACCGATAGTTAGGGCTAAACCAAGGTTTACACCCCCTAGCGTGGGGGCGCGTGGGGGCTCTTTCGGGCGTTGAATTGAAGGAGGGATTTCAATAAAGATTGGGAGGCCGACATAGTAAAAACAAAATTCCTGCCACAATAGTGAATAATAGCAATAGACTAGCTGAGAAGAAACAAAGTGCAAAAGGAAAAAACAAAAACAGAAACGCTCAGATGGTTATTCCGATACGGGGAATCGAACCCCGAGCTGCCGTGTGAGAGACGGCGATGTTAACCATTACACCATATCGGATGTTGTTGAAGAAACGGCACCAAATTATGCTCTATAAAGCAACACTAAGCGGTGCAGAGTCATGTCCGCAGACTGCCTAGATCGACTATTTGTGAAGTGTTTGCTTGAATCCTAATTACAGGTCTAGAAATGCCTTGTAACTATCTACTCTTAGTATGCCCTACCACAAGTGGGTAAATCTACCGCGAGCTCTTGGTCACTGGTGGACCTTTCAAGCATGTTACAGTATGGCATGGTTTGTTTCGAAGTACCCACAGGGCAGTTCTTCATGGTGAGGGCCAAAGAGCACTTGTCGGGTATTTAACTACATTCCTTGTGGACAAAGCTCATACTGAGCCATTTATGGTTTATTCTCATTGTCACCCTTGCTGATCGGTTGTGGTTGTGATCGCGTTGGTCTTGCTGTGCCCCGGATATATATTCCGACTACATAGTTTTTGCCCACCCACCTAATACTACTTTCTATTCTCCGGTCAATAACTCTCGGTATGAGCAAATAACCTGGTTGACAAGGTGATATACGTGCTCATAAGCTCTACCCAAGTTTATATGGCACTATACACGGCGACTTGAACGGTGAAATTCCATGGGGACTTCATGTTGGTCTTATGGCTCATGGAGAGTGAGGTAGACCATTGCGGGGCTCCGATGCTTGCATTGGAATTGAAAACGGAAACGGAAACGATATGATGCAGATTAAGAATATGATTGGAATAATGTGGGTGAGAAGAGAATTGTATTACACCGTACACACTCCGTCTGATCCCTGGGAACCAAATCGCGTTTGCCTCAAAGGAACATGTGTCATTTAACTCAAAAGAAACCAAACCTCGGTCCAAAACTATACATACAATAAGAAGGCACCGTGCGCATGGAATCGAACCCTTGTCTGGCTATCCCGTCTTGCTTTTTCGTTGCGCCGAGATAGGGGCCCAGGCGCCCATCGCTGCACTGCATTCTTTGCGTAGTCACTACTTTATCAAGGCCTAAGCCTGGCCACTGGTGAGGTGAATTGATGAGGTATGGGTTAAGACAGTTACGGCAGATACTGCCTCCATGTATACTAGGTCTTAATGTTTGATTGAAATTGTGTTTTTCTTTTCCCAACTAGTGTGATCATTTCATATATTGTGGTATATCCATCAATGCCAAGAACGCCATCGCACCGTTCAACCCGCTGTGCCAGAGTCAAATCTAACAATAAACCCAGAAATTATCCCACAATATTAGTGACTGCAGGTAAACACTACCACGTACGAGCGTCATATCATCAAGAAGTAAGCAATGAACAAGAAGACAGAACCAAATTACACCCCGTGACGGTAGACTTGTGAGCCTCCCGAGCGAATACGTATGGTGTCCCTGCGCTGAAGGACCATGAGTGCCCGGTTCAGAGCTTGTTCGCTGTAGCCTCTTCCGTCGACGAACTCGCGGCGCAAGGTGGCAAGACTGGTGCTCCATCCAATAGGAAGACGACGCTTCATTTCGTCTTCAACCCTGGTGACTTCTTCCATCATCTCCTTGCTGCCTTGGCCCTCACCTTGCGTGATGGCATCCATGGTCGAGGCCAGGAAGAGACGGATGGCTTCGTCGACGTGGGCCTCGGTGGCAATTGGAGACAGGCTCAACTTGGCGAGAGACTCGGTAATACGGACAATAGCCTCTAGCTGACGAACCGTAATGGGGATGGAAGAACGGGAGTTGGCGTCGAGCTCGGCACGGTGAACTTGCTTTCTGATCGAGACGAAGTGCGAGGAAAGTTTCTCGGCAGCTTCGGGGGAGAGGCGAGGGGCACAGCGGCTGTAGATTGATTAGCATTGTTCTTGTAAGAATTGGAGAAGCTATAAGATGGGAGTGAGACATACGTTCGGCAGTAACTGATGTATCGTTTCATCGTGTCGACGGGAATTTCTGCCTCGACTTGTTCCTCAATACCTCGACCACCCATGTGTACACCCATGACGTGGCGCGCGATGCTCTCATCACGACTCCGCTCGTGGTCGTCTCGGACGATGAAGATCATATCGAAACGAGACAGAATTGTTGTCTGGAAATCAATGTTTTCACCGGGTGTTTTCAGTTCGTCGTAGCGGCCGAAGATGGGGTTAGCGGCGGCCAAAACGGACGTTCTCGAGTTGAGAATAGTGGTGATACCGGCTTTGGCGATCGAAATGGTCTGTTGCTCCATAGCTTCGTGGATAGCGACTCGGTCTTCGTCTCTCATTTTGTCGAACTCATCAATACACACGACACCCCCGTCGGCCAGAACCATGGCACCTCCTTCCAAGTAGAACTCGCGGGTTGCTGCGTCTCGCTGCACAGATGCAGTCAAACCAGCCGCCGACGAACCCTTACCAGACGTATAGATGGCAATGGGCGATACTTTTTCGGTGAACTTGAGCAGCTGGGACTTTGCGGTACCGGGGTCTCCGAGAAGCAGGACGTTAATGTCTCCACGCAGTTTCATGCCGTCAGGGAGAATTTTCTTCGAGCCACCCATGAGCAGACACACAATGGACTTTTTGATGTCCAGGTTTCCGTAGATGGAAGGCGCAATGCTCCGAGCAAGAGCATCGTACAGATCCGGCCGCCGGCTGATCTCCAGGAACTCCTGCTCTTCTTCTTCCGAGAAAATAGCATTGCCCTTAACGGTGTGGTCAAGGTCGGTGCTGATACCAACAGCACGCAAATATGGGTTGCGGATCGCTACTGCAGCATCCTTCTTGGCGCCCTTGGATTGATAGATGGAGAAGATACCCATCACAGTGCAGCGGGAGCCGGGTACGACCCGGTTTGCGAGGTACCGATCCGCAGAGATGAGCACATGTCGTGGCAGCTCACCCACGGGTACCTGATCAGGCGCTTCTTGAAGTTTGAGAACCTGCTGATCGACGAACTGGCATTTGTCATGAGAGACAACGTACGGATCCAGAGGACACTGTTCCTGGACGCCCTCGCCAGGCTGTCTCTCTCGTCCACATCTTCTGGGAAGGGAGAGACCGGCGAAGCCTCCCTCGACGGACAGATTATCGCTGTGGTCGCAATTTTTGCAACGGATGTGGACAATTGTTGCCTTGGAGGAGATCGTAGAGGCACCAATCACGATACCAGGAATGCGCACAAGATGAGAGATATTTGTCGCATTCAGGTCCCGAATCGAGATGTGAGTGGCGGAGGAGTGCAAAAGGAGCTGGTGAGTGGGGAGCTGAATGTCTCTTTGGGAGGGGTAGACGATCCTCTGTGTACATTGCTGAAGAGCTGCTTCGAACTGGAAAAGAAGTTGATGTCAGAATCCAACACCAGAAAACCTGACCGGCAACTAATGAGATACTCACAAGGGGGATGATGTCTGCGGGTTCGGTCGTAAGCTTGTGTGCCAGCTCTTCGTTGTACGAAATCAAGTGAGCGATGTCAATATCGCAGTAATATTGCTTGACAAGAACGTTCTGCCGTAATTGATCCCTATAAACGGGGTGAGAATTGGGTTGGACTTGGATTTGCTAGGCGATTGGACATACCGGTAGATAAACGCATTATCCAGCTGGAACTCCAAGACGAATTCTCTTAGCCTTGCTTGGATTTGAGTCCGAGATTCCTCGGCGCCATCTGTGCTACCAGCGAGCACGCTCAGGGTGAAGGGTGTGCGCCTATCCATGATGGAGACTGCAATGGGGGAGGAGGGGGTGGAGGTGACGACGAAAGGATGGAGTGTGGGATGGCTGTCTATTTTTGCCCGCCCAGGGAGAAAGTCGATCCGAACGACTTTTGCTGGGAACACGAACCCGGCGCGTCGCGTCGAGCGGGACGCGTTAAGTGGTTTTTGGCCTGAGGCGTTGGTGGTCAGGCCTCAGGCGCCCAGGCCGCAACTCGGAAGATTAAAGCGCCGAAATCCCCCCGACGTACCCCGTGGCCTTGGGGCCTGGCGCCTTACCCGATCGGGGCTGAGCTGTCATGCTCCAAAAAGACCAAACCAAATCCCCGTATCAATCGGGCACCTGGTGACGTTGCACTTTCCTTTCCCTTCTTTCTTTGTCTCGCTCGCTTTCTCAATTAGACGCCGTTATCCCCAAGCTGTGGGGGCCAAAGCCATTGGTCGATCAGTGCTGTCCCGGCTAGTCTCGAACGAACGTTACAGCTTGTCCTCTTGTCATGTTTAGATAACCGTGTTCCCCAAAATAGCACGGTGGCTGTCGGAGTCGCCAATTTGGCATCAGCGAGATGTCCTCTGTGAGCCCACGGAAGTCGATTGACAGTATAGCCTCGGGAGCCTCGACACCGTCGTTGTCGCAGCAGTCGTTTAACCCACTCGAGTCTCCCCGCGTCCCCTCTCAAAGATACCCCCTGAGACGGGGATCGACCGCCAGTTCCGTCGCGAGCATTGGAGGGATTTTGGATTCTTCTCAGCGTCATGGATCGATAGCAGAATCGGGTCAAAATGGTTCGTCACTGGCAATTGATAGAGCGATTGAAGTCCTGGGCTTTGGCTAATCCCCCCTTAGCTATCTCTACTCTCCTCCAGCCTCCGATCGTCCGCACCGGACTGCTCCCCCAAACGGCAGTCGCCTCGTCTGGATATAAACCTCCGAGTTCCCGCGATATTCCCCCAGTTACATTGACGAATATTCCCCGTGTGGACTCGAAGGCGTTCGCTCCGTACTTATCGCAAGTTGGGTCACTGTACGATGTATTTCAACAGGCCAAGGAGGGGTCCGGTGACCAGGACTCGCAGTTGGCGCGTGGAGGCGGCAAGGCTTCCCCTAAGCCGGACGAATACGAGTCATTGATTTCGCGATCCCAAGAGCGACGGCCTTCCGGGATTTCTACCGGCTCCCGCGCAAGCTCGCCTTATGACACAAGGGGGAGGAGACGGTCATCCGCTGGCCGAGGCCGTGGTCACGCCGTCACCCCACTGTCCACAATTCCTCCGGTATATTTCGAAGACGACTTCCACCTTGAAAACCCTCGCACGTTTGACGTGGTCTCTGAAAAGTCTGAAGTCGTTACACCACCGAAGACTCCAAGCAAGGACGATAGGCCGGATATTCCAGTTGTGGCGGAACCTCCCCGAACTGGGAGAAAGGCGCTTGCCACCAATGCGATCCTGCAGGAAAAGCTGTCATGGTATATGGATACTGTGGAAATACACCTCATCTCGTCAATCTCGACCGCGTCCAAGTCGTTCTTTACCGCCCTAGGATCCCTGCGCGAGCTTCATTCTGAAGCTGCTGACTCGGTGAAACGGATCCAAGTTTTACGAAAGGATCTTCAGAAAATCGACCGCGAAATGGCCCTGGGTGGATTGAAAATCGTTAACCTGCGACGCCGAAGAGAGAACGTCAGGATGCTCGCCGACGCCGTATCTCAACTTCGAGATGTGGTCCAGTCTGTGTCACGCTGTGAAGAGTTGGTCGACAACGGGGAGATTGAAGAGGCCGCAGATGGCCTGGAAGAAGTGGAAAGACTAATGTCTGGGGATTTTGTTGTTGATCGTCCCTCTGAAGATGATGAGACGCGGGAACAACCGAGAAAGGCCATCGACCTCAGAAGACTCAAAGCCCTCGAGGGGGCATCTGACGACCTGGCGCAGTTGAGATACAGGATCGGTAGTGGATACGAGGCGCGCTTCTTGAGTGACCTTCTTGGCGATTTGAGACAACATGTCGAAAACGCACCATTGGACACGACACTGCAGCGTTGGGGTGCTTCCTTTCAGCGACAACGCGGAGCTCAACGATCTGCTGCCACAACCTCTCCAGCGTATATGTCATTTGATGATGAACTGAGATCTAGATTACGTGCGCACCTCACTGGGCTTGCGCGTGCACATCACACGACCCCCGCAGCAACCTCTTTCAAGACTGCGGTCCTACGGGAGATGAAAAGCCTCATTCGGAAGCACATGCCCAGCTCCAGTGACGACGACAACGAATCGATGGTGTCCGTTTCCACCCACAGATCGCAGGGCCTAAGCCAACAAGAGAAGTCTTCGATACTTGCTCGCAATCTCCGCGCTATGGATGCAGAGGATGCTTATAGCATGGTTGCTCAGATATACACGGGCATCAGTGAATCGTTACGAAGACTCAGCGTCCAAGTCAAGGTGCTTCTTGATATCGCGAGTGGACTGGGAAATCCACCAACCCCTACACTTAAATCTTCACCTCGCAGCCCCGTTCGACGGTCTACGGATAGTTCCGAGAACTTGAAAGCCAACCCGCGGTTGGAGGCAACGGTGGTCGCACAAGACGAGATATTGCAGGTCTTGGATATGTCTAGCCTCCTAGGCCAAGCGGTTGACATTGCTCAGTCCCAAATCAACAAGGTGCTTAAGGTGCGGTCTGAACAGACCTCTCAGTTGCCCAAGGAAGATTTTCTGAAGTACTTTACCCTCAACCGTCTTTTCGCCGACGAGTGCGAAGCCATCTCTGGGCGAAGCGGCACCGCTTTGAAGACATTGGTTGGTAACCAGATTAAAGATTACATCAACCGGTTTGGTGATACACAGCGCCATCGCATTGTCGAAGTGATGGACGCAGACCGATGGGACGCCAAGGACTTCGGCGATTCCGAAAATGCCGTCTTGAAACGAATCTTGGATGCGAGCACCAAAGATATCGATGCTTGGGTGGAGGTTTCCAAGATTTGGCAGCCCCCTACCGAGGGCCATGAGAATTCGGATGCGGCTGCTGTCAATGGTTCCGGAAAGGACAAAGTCAGAAGCGCCGTTATTGATGAGCAGAAATACATTCTCTCAGCATGTGCTATGGCTATGATGAAGAGCATTGAGGAATTTCAGTTCCTCATGGCAAATATTCCTAGTATGATCCAGGACATTGCCCCCGGTCTTTTAGAGACGTTGAAATTGTTCAACTCCCGGTCCTCCCAACTGATTCTCGGAGCCGGGGCCACTAGAAGCGCTGGCCTGAAGAACATCACCACAAAACATCTCGCCTTGTCTTCGCAAGCCCTGAGTTTCATCATAGCGCTGGTACCGTACATTAGGGAGTTTGTTCGCCGTCACGCCCTAAGCAGCCCGCTAATGGGCGAGTTCGATAAGGTGAAGCGATTGTACCAAGAGCATCAGTCTGGCATTCATGAGAAGCTTGTCGACATCATGAGCGGTCGCTCCTCCATTCATGTTAATGCCATGAAGAAGATCGACTGGAACGCGGTGACCAATGGCAACGCCGTCAGCCCGTACATGGAAACACTGGCCAAAGAAACCGGCACACTGCATCGCGTTCTGAGCAAGCATTTGCCCGACATGACTGTTTCTATGATCATGGACCCCGTTTTCAACAGTTACCGGGAGCAGTGGACCAAGGCATTTGAAGAAGTCTCCATAACCTCGGAGAGTGGAAAACAAAGGTGAGCTTTTCGCTCGAGCACTATGTGACTTGTGCTAACTTGATTAGATTGCAACGCGATGCGGAGTATTTCCAGTCGAAACTCAGCAAAATAGATGGCTTTGGCAACCTGGGCGAGCGTCTGCTTGAATTAGTCAAGCAGAAAAGCACCGCGACAGAGGCGCAGGAGCCTCCATCAACCGAGCCTGATACCTCGAAGGGGTCTCCCAAGACCAGTGAAGATACCAAATCTTGAGCATGATCAATCTATAATTATCCGCTATGGGCGATCGAGGTCACACTCGGAAGATCTCACCTGCACATTCTATACATTCCTCCAACTCTGACTATTCCCGCGGTGTTCCCTGTCAAAATGCCCAGGGAACTGTGTACAGTGATTTTGCTCAATGCTACCGCAACTTCCCTTACTCTATACACTGCGGTGCATCCTTATTTACGTTCTATAGAATAATCCAACCCTTTGTCTATATCTTGTTGACCTCTTTCACAATACTCTTCTACAAACTACAAAACCCACGGATTTATCGTACTTAGTCTTTCAATTCATTATGATAAGCCTCCACATCAAGCAGAAGCCTCAATGCTAATCGACCGATTCTCATAAATATCGTACAAGCATAGACATATCCCATCCAACTCCAATGATAATGCTCATGACACCACTCATTCAAAAGCGTTTCCTTTTCTTTCAGGGTTCGGGCTCGATTTTAAACGCCCTGCGCACCGAGACCCTTGTTCTCTCCGAGCGTTTTCGGGTCATGCCCGCCCTTGCCGCTACCAGACTGAGTAGGGCCGGAGCTGCCGCCGCCGCTGGCCAGGCCGTTGGCGTTGATGCCTTCGACGGGGAGGTCGGCGACCTTGTGGGTGCGGTTGAGGTCGGCGTTCTATGTGGTGTTAGCTTGTATGTACTTCTTCGGAGTGATGTTTAGAGAGGAGGGGAGGGTAGGAGGATAGATTTGGGAATACATACGTCGTTACCGACGCCGTGGACCTTGTTAGGACCGTTTTCGATGGCGTTGTCGCTCTGAGGGACACCGTTGTCGTATTCAGCTCCGCGAGGCATGATGGTTTGATATCAGGGTGTTTTTGAGGTAGTTTCAAGGTAGGAAAGAGAGAGTTTTGTGAGGTAGATTCGATGGATTGATGGTTTTGATGGTTCTGTTAAGTTGTCAAGGGAATATGTTCCTTTGAAAGCTTCTTTATAACCCCCATCCTCCTTCTGTTGATGATGGCATCGACTTCTGAGCTTTCCTGGTTCTGGTTCTGTAGGTGGAATGGCTGACACCATTGTGAAGTCATTGTGGAGACGCCGCAGGAGAGATGACTTCATCCGGTCAGGGAATTGGTCGGGCTTTCTCGATCTAGGTGTCGATCGCGGTTGTTTGAGAATGAGACCGAAAAGGGGGTCTTGTTGCTTCTGGACTCAGTACGTAAAATCTTCTGCGTAATGAGATCGAGTGTTGATTTAATGGTATCCCAGGAGGAGTTGTCCGGTGTAGTTCTTGGTAGTGGTGAGTGGGGCCAGTGTGATCTTCCGCCTCAGCCAGCAAATTAGCCAAACAGTGCAAACAGCACAAACGCTGCGACTGCCCGCCCATCAAGGGCTCAAGCCCGTTTTGCATGCGTTGACATCCTATCAAACTCGCAGATGCTCGTCGAGGGTGCAGATCGAAATGTTTGATTTGTTTTCTTCACGGCTGGCTGCTTCTGTCTTTATAAAGGAGACGGCCTTGACAGGTCTTCAGCAAGACTTTCGGCTTTATCTCGAGGCGACGTGAAGTCCATTTCGACATTCTGATTACAGAAATATATACTCTTTGCAAAGAAGCACTCGTCTCAAGAATCAACCCATTCCTCATAATAAAACACCATGAACGCCGTGGTCATTCACACCCCCGGCCCCCCTAATGTCCTGCAGGTCATACAGCGTCCCATCCCGCAGCCGACACCGGGCCAGGTGCGGATCAAAGTGAAAGCCTTCGGACTGAACCGGTCCGAACTTTTCACCCGACAGGGCCACTCGCCCGTGCAGTTTCCTCGCATCCTCGGGATCGAAGCGGTAGGGGTGATTGACGCCGTAGCCACGGGCCTGGAGCGGCAATTCCCCCTCGGGAGCCCCGTTGCCACGGCCATGGGTGGGATGGGTCGCGCCTACGATGGCGGATACGCGGAGTATACGTGCGTGCCGGCGAAACAGGTGCAGATCGTCAAGAGCAGTTTGCCGTGGGATGTGCTCGGCGCGCTGCCGGAGATGCTGCAGACGGCGTGGGGCGCGCTGATGAGGTCGCTGTCACTGAGAGCCGGTGATCGGCTGCTGATTCGTGGTGGCACGACCTCTGTTGGACTGGCAGCGGCGGCGATCGCGAAGACGCATGGGGCGTTTGTGGCGTCGACGACGAGGAAGGGGGAGCGTGCGGCGTTGCTGCGTGAGTATGGTGTCGATGAGGTTTGGGTGGATGATGGGGCCCTGGCGGCGCAGGTTGCTCGGGCGGATGCTGAGCACTTCGATAAGGTGCTGGAGCTGGTGGGCACGGTGACACTGGCTGATTCGCTGCGCTGCGTGAAGAAAGGGGGCACGGTCTCGGTCACGGGCATTGTGGGCAATCAGTGGTACCTGGAAAAAGTTAATCCGATGGAGCTGATCCCGTCTGAAACGAAATTGACGGTGTATAGCGGTTCGGATGAGGATTTCACGGCGACGCCGTTGAATGAGCTGATGAAGATGGTGGAGGATGGCAGGTTGAAGGTGCGAGTTGGTCGGATGTTTCAGATGGAGGAGATTGTCGAGGCACACGAATGTATGGAGAGGGACGAGGCCCAGGGAAAGCTTGTGGTATTACCATGACCAATTACTGAGGGCTCTCTGTGTGGACATTCTCGGTGGGAAAACAGAAATTCTATTGTTCATTCTATGTGATACATTCTATACAATCTAGTATAAACCACCCGAAACGCCATCTACGCCTCCAAAACCCCAAAGGCAGCAATCAAGATAAGTCAACAGTCTAAATGATCTTGAGCCCCATGTCCATATATTCATCCCATGCTTTGGGATCTAGCCTCCTAGCCTGCGCAACATATCCTGTTTCTATCATGTGCTTGAAGACATCCAAGCTCGAATCGGAAAGCGGACGTGACTCCCTATTCCGGACGTGGTCTTCAATCCACGAGCAAGACAGTCCAGGCTCTGGATCAGGTTCGGTCTCGGGCTCATGCCCAGGCACAGGTTCAGGTCCATATTCAAGTTCATGCTCAGGCTCAGCTCCTTGTTTAGGCACAGGCTCTTGTTCAAATTCAAGGCTATGTTCAGATACAGGCCCCTGTTCAGGTTCGGGCTCTTGGTCAGGGTCAGGAGTATCAGATTCAAAGGAATCAGAGCTAGGAGGATCCGGGTTTGACACAGGCCAACGGCGTGGATCGCTCGGCGCTACAGAGGGATCGGACGCGGTGGCGATTCCAAATGACCCGGGAGATGGACTACGACGAGAAGTAGAATGGGAAGGGGAAAGATACTTGTGTATAATTTTCGCGACTGCATTCTTAAAATCTTTGAACTGCCTTTTCAGCGACTCTTTCAGCCCAGCGCCGGAGACCTTCTGGGCCGATCCCCGGAAGCGTTCTTTGTGACGGAAGAATTTGGCAAAGCCCATTCTAGATATGAGACACTCTCGGCAGCCAGCAAAGGTGCGAGTTGCTTGGAACTATGACTACGGGGGACTCCTGGACTTATTTATCTTTCAGTTTGAACACTAATCGCGACATGCCCGAAGCGAGTGTTTCGAAGAACAATGGCATTGTAACCGACAAAGAGTAGAGAGTTTTGCTTTTGTTTTGGGATTGAGGATTTGTTTCAAGGTTCCTCGATAGACAATGAGAGACTTGGGGGTTCGAGTCTGCCTAAAGGAGATGTTCAATGGTTAAATTGCTTCGTTGGAGTCGATTAATTAATATTCCATTATTCTGTTGAGCCCCGTCAGTCAAGAATGTAGCTATGCAGTGATTTGATACAGTTGAGGCGGCGATATCAGTATGGATAGTCGCCTGTGAAGTGATCAGAAAGCACAAGAAGGCATATAGAAGAGTACTACCGAAATCCATGTAAACCAGCCACGATCCTTTGTGTAAGCTCGCTAGAATATTACCTCAAGATGTGTCCGGGAACATGCGAGCGAGCCCTCTTCGCACACCTTATGGCCTTATGCCGGTTAGTTAAGATCATGTTAGAAGTGCTGTGAATAGATCCTCAACAAGCGTATCGGCATTAGAGCTTAAGCTTCGCACGAAGACGGCCAGGGGTCCACTTGAAGCCGCATGGTAGATTATGTCCATTAGAGGAGACTGAACGAAGTCTTTGCAAACTTGAATGCTGAGATGTTAGTACCAGCATCGACGATACCATATTGAAGCCATTCCAATACCATTTGACGATGGTGATAAGTCAACAGACAGACCATGACGTAATGACCGATTAGATTTCCCCGGATCCACTGCTTCGTCGTGCGGAGTCAACGTTGACCTCCAAAGCCAAGCTACGGACGGTCTTGGAGCTCCAATCCTTTCCCCTTTGCTATGTTAAGGATGGGAGGACCTCGTAACTTCTTGGATGGTGGGAAAACCCTTGCAAGGCCGTCCGTTTCACTCGACGAACGAGAGTGGCACTATCGCACGGAAGGGGCGCCTTCAACGCGACACTTTCATCATCGGGGGCGAAGATAGAAGGGGACGATCCTTGCCAAAGCTTCAGTTGGACCTCTAGGAGAATTAGCAACTGGTCGGATGATCCTGCAATGAATTAGAGCGACCGGGGTGGTCATTTGCCAACCTGCTAGACTGGCTTTGCAGTAGCAGCGAGTCCGTGCAACAGCCCATTCATCTTCCCCCTCTCCCTTCCCTCGCCCTGTTTCCCTTTAATTTCCTCCAACCTTCTTTTTTGTCTTCCTTCTCCCTCATCTGTCTCTTATCTTCCTTCGTTCACTGTGTTTCCTTTGTTGAAAGTTCTTCGGAATTGACAATTATCGAGTTCTGTCCGGGTCAAAGAGTCGTCAGGGTCTGGAATCAAGGAAGACCTCCCTGTTTCCCCGCCACCCGCATTCGGCCTTCCCCCGCACGCTTTCATAACAAAGAGCGACCTTGGGTGAGCTTCCTCTTTTTCTCCTTTTCTGCCCTCCGTTTCAATCCATTTCCCTCATAGCCATGATTATTTTGCAGCCTCTAACTTAGCAGAGCTCGGCCCTCGTTCAGTCCTTGCTACCGGTGACTTCTCAAGGACAGCTTCGTTGCTAGCTCGATAGCTCTTGAGAGATAACAATCGCCATGGCCAGTGCAGCTGAGGAGAACGGCAGCGAGCCGATCAAGCGAGATGTTCGCAACCATATGCTCTTCGAGGTGGCCACCGAAGTCGCCAACCGGGTGGGAGGAATCTACTCCGTCCTCAAGTCCAAAGCCCCGGTGACAACGGCGGAATATGGCGAGCGCTACACCTTGATCGGCCCTCTGAATCGAGCTTCGGCAGCCGTGGAGGTCGAGGAATTGACCCCCTCAAATCCTCGCATGGTGGAAACCATCAAGTCCATGAAGGAACGTGGTATTGATCTGATCTACGGTCGTTGGCTGATTGAAGGAGCACCGCGCGTGCTTCTCATCGATACGGGTACTGGGTACAAGTACCTCGACGAATGGAAGGGGGATCTATGGAACACCGCGGGCATTCCTTCGCCGTCGGCTGACACGGAGACAAACGAAGCCATTGTCTTTGGATACTTGGTGGCATGGTTCTTGGGTGAGGTGCGTTGGCTTCTTTGCCCTTCTTGAGCTTCCCTTCGTTCGATTGACCATCACTGACCGATGGAAAACTAGTTTATCGCGCACGAACGGCGCCGTGCTGTTGTCGCTCATTTCCATGAATGGCTTGCCGGGGTTGCCCTCCCTCTGACTAAGAAGCGACACATGGACTTGACAACTATCTTCACCACCCATGCGACGCTTCTTGGGCGGTACCTTTGCGCGGGCTCTGTTGATTTTTACAACAACCTTCATCATTTTGACGTGGATGCGGAGGCCGGTAAACGTGGGATCTACCATCGATACTGCATCGAACGAGCGGCCGCCCACACGGCAGACGTCTTTACCACTGTCTCCCATATCACTGCCTTCGAGAGTGAACATCTGCTCAAGCGTAAGCCAGACGGTGTTCTGCCCAACGGATTGAACGTCAAGAAATTCTCGGCAGTTCATGAGTTTCAGAATCTCCACTCGCAGTCGAAGGAGAAGATCAATGATTTCGTCCGCGGTCACTTTTATGGTCACAATGATTTTGACTTGGACAACACCCTCTACGTGTTCACCTCGGGAAGATACGAATTTCGCAACAAGGGCGTTGACATGTTCATTGAAGGCCTGGCGCGTCTCAATCACCGTCTGAAGGCCAGCGGATCGAAGACAACCGTCGTCGCATTCATTATCATGCCTGCGCAAACCACCTCGCTCACCGTCGAGGCGCTGAAGGGACAGGCCGTCGTGAAGTCATTGCGTGACACGATTGAGATGATCGAACAAGGCATTGGAAGACGCATGTACGAGCGCTGTTTGGCATGGAAGGAGGGTGAAAACATGCCAGATGAGAAGGATTTGATGGCCAGCCAAGATCGGGTCCTCTTGCGCCGTCGCCTGTTTGCCATGAAGCGACATGGGCTCCCTCCGATTGTCACCCACAATATGAACAATGACCACGAGGACCCGATCTTGAACCAGATTCGTCGAGTCCAGCTTTTCAACCATTCCTCAGATCGTGTCAAGGTTGTCTTCCACCCCGAGTTCCTCAACTCTTCCAACCCGGTGCTGCCATTGGACTATGATGACTTCGTCCGCGGGACGCATCTAGGCGTGTTCCCATCCTACTATGAACCCTGGGGATATACGCCAGCGGAGTGTACAGTGATGGGAGTCCCTAGTATCACCACCAACCTGTCAGGATTTGGCTGTTACATGGAGGAATTGATCGAAAATTCGTCTGATTACGGCATCTACATCGTGGACCGCCGGATGAAGGGCGTTGACGATTCGGTGAACCAACTGACTGAGTTCATGTATAACTTCACTATGAAGAGTCGACGACAGCGAATCAACCAAAGAAACCGGACGGAGCGACTCAGCGATCTGTTGGACTGGAAGCGCATGGGATTGGAATATGTCAAGGCTCGGCAGTTGGCTCTGCGAAGAGGTAATGTCCCATCTTGCGACTCAAATGCGGAAGTGTTATTTTTATTCGATTGCTAACTCCGTATAGCCTACCCGTCCTCGTTTGGTAGCACCGAAGATTTCTTTGATGTCATTGGGGGTACTGAACAGAAGTTGTCGCGGCCGCTGTCCGTTCCTGGCTCGCCTAAGGATCGCTCCGGGGTGATGACCCCTGGAGATTTCGCATCGCTTCAGGAGATCAAGGAAGGATTGAGTACCGAGGACTATATCGCCTGGAAGCTCCCGTGAGTTTATCATATTGTACTCTTCCAGGCGGTAAAAATTTCCACTAACTGCCCTCGCCGATCTAGTACCAACGAGGACGAAGAGCCCGACGAGCCTTTCTTCCCACTCACCCTGCGCACCAAGAAAGCCAGCGATCGACCGTCGTCGCCGCTCGACCGGATATCGGTGAACGGCGACACTTGATCAGCCTCGTGTATATGAAAGAGATGGGATAAAGTAGACTCTATCGCTATCCACCTTCGCGAGGTCTCGTGTGATGGAGGACAGCTCGCGATACTGTATAGCTGCTGTTGCCATCAAGTGTGTTTCCTCGCCCTCGCCCTTGTGACTTGTTGATATTGCAATATTTTTTGGAGAGTGCTCGAACTTGTTAAACAAAGCATCCACCTATCATCATCATCTGCGCGCTTTAATTGTCTAGATTTGTTAGTTTGCATCCATTCATAGCTTTGTCATAATCGATGTTTAGTTATTCTTGCTAATAGCTTTCTTTCCACTAGCTGGTGTGATTGGCTTCTCTATGAGGGATTATCGTCCAGCACCTATGTGCACAGACATGAAATCATCTTGCTTTGACATTCTGAAGTCGGAAACACGCACGCATTACACGCATACTCGTTGTTCATACCATAGACCTGTTCAGCTCTATAACCGCAAGCAAATATTGTAAAATAGTCCGATCGGGACAGTACCATCCAAGTACATCGTACAATATGACTCTCTGTTGCTTCGGACTAGAGAGGTCCTAGTTGCATCGGAGAAACAGGGTCCAGCCCACCGTCGTAATCGAGAGCGGGTCTCGGGGGAGGGGAGGCACGGTGGTTGATGTGCAAGACCGGATAGAGTTAACATTGACGATAATAAACCTGCCAGATAGGCGGATTGGGTGCGATACCGGCGAGACAACACAGGCCGAGAGTGTTGATCAAATCATCAGGATTGTTGTTAATAAGAAGAATTGTTGAGGCCGAAGGTGGGGTTGGTCGAGCTCCTTCTGGTAAAGTCCCACTCCCGTGACTCTTCCTGGCTATTTATTGCTGCCCCTCTTCTTCCTCTTTCTTTCTCTCCCCTCTCTTCCATCGTCCGAACATCTACTTTATCATCCAATTCCATCTACCTTCATCGATATTCGCTGCTTTGTTCGGTACGGCTCACTAGCTGCGCAGCCAGGACCCGCCGGGCCTGGGTCTTTTCGCCATGGGTTTTCACGGATCAAGGTATCGTACAATGTATACAACAATCTCTGCTTGCGTATGACAGGTGTTCGGCTGGAATATGCTTCTATCACTCGGTCGGTTCTGAGGATTTGGACATGAACGCACACAGAACCTAGTTCTGAAAGTGTTTCATGACAATCACAATGGGCCGACTGAATTGTGGAAGTATAGACCGGTCGTTCTGAGATTATACTGTCACAACTTGATCTAGATAATACTAGCGAAAGGACATGCGTCGCATTGATTGTCTCCCCTTCCCTTTTGTCTTCCAGAGATGAGAGGGCTCCTCGGTCTCCGCTGCTAACAATTCCCAGTCGTTTGACTTGAATCTGTGCCAAGATGTCTACTGACAAGATTACCTTTCTCACCAACTGGTATGAGTGTGCCACAGGTGTTTCTTTTCTTTCTTCTCCATTTCCATTCCCCTGTAGCTCTCTTCTATTGTTTTGTCGGATTGTATTCTATCATTGCGCATATGAACGATTACTAAGTGCTTGTAAAGGCACGCGACGCCCTATCATGCCCCGTTGTACCTCGCCCAGAGCAAGGGCTTCTTCAAGGAGGAAGACCTGAAGGTTGCTCTGTTGGAACCCAACGACCCCTCCGATGTTACCGAGATCATCGGTAGTGGCAAGGTCGACATGGGCTTCAAGGCCATGATCCATACCCTTGCTGTACGTGCCTTCTAAGCAACCAGATGAGCTGCGATCTAATGCAATGGCAGGCCAAAGCTCGGAACTTCCCCGTCACCTCGATCGGTTCCCTGCTGGACGAGCCGTTCACCGGCGTTGTCTACCTCAAGGACAGTGGAATCACCGAGGACTTCCGCTCCTTGAAGGGCAAGAAGATCGGCTATGTCGGCGAGTTTGGCAAGGTTAGCATTCCACCAACTAGTCATATGTTGTTTGTCTAACCACTCTTAGATCCAAATCGACGAGCTCACCAAGTACTACGGCATGACTGCCGATGATTACACTGCCGTCCGTTGCGGCATGAACGTCACCAAGGCCATCATCCGCGGCGACATCGATGCAGGCATTGGACTTGAGAACGTGCAGATGGTTGAGTTGGCCGAGTGGCTGGCCTCTCAGAACCGCCCTCGGGACGACGTCCAGATGCTCCGTATCGACCAGCTGGCCGAGCTGGGCTGCTGCTGCTTCTGCTCCATCCTGTACATCGCCAACGACCCCTTCCTGGCCGCCAACCCCGAAAAGGTGCAGAAGTTCATGCGGGCCGTGAAGCGTGCCACCGAGTACGTCCTCGCCGAGCCGGCCAAGGCCTACGAGGAATACGTTGACATCAAGCCTATCATGGGAACCCCCGTGAACCGCAAGATCTTCGAGCGCTCGTTCGCCTACTTCAGCCGTGACCTGAAGAACGTGTCTCGCGACTGGGCCAAGGTGACCAACTACGGCAAGCGTCTGGGCATCTTGGACCCCAACTTTGCGCCCAACTACACCAACGAGTACCTGTCCTGGAAACTGGACGGGGACTCCTCGGACCCTCTGGGTGACCAGAAGCGCATGGCCGAGCTGCAGAAGCAGGTTGCTTCCGAGGGAGGCTTCAAGCGCCTGGAGGTCGCTTCGTCGGCTTAATGGGGTGCTCTTCTGCGATGACCACGTTGATGCTGCCAAAATGTCAAGCATCCACCAACTTTACGCTCGTTAGCAAATGAAATGATTGATTCGCGTAAATGCCTTGTCTCTTGTAGCAATACAGTTCGTAAATGTGAATGCTGGGCAATCAACAACGCATACACTTAGCCCTCTAACCCAATAGAATCGGTTAGATTGAAATAATTACTATACAACACTAATGTACACACCAATCACTATCACCAACTACCAACAAACATCATCCATCATCCATCCACAAACCGATCCCTCGTCCCCGCCACATTCTCATACGACGCGAGCCTCGGATTCCCCAACAACGAGAACTCAATCCCATCACTAAGCTCCCCATCACTCAGATCCTCCTCGTCCCCATTAAACCCGTCATTATCGACCGGAACCCAATTCCCTCTTTCCCGATCCCTCATCGCAGACTCATACCCTTCCCTACCCCCTCTCACCCTTCCCAAACACGGTCCAACAATCCCACCTACCCAACCTACTGCAGGCACATTCCTCACCTTCTCCCCAAAAACCCACTGCACTAACACTACCACCCCCAGAAGCCCAACCGCCGACCCAAACCCAACCATCCAGAACACAAACGACCGCATCCCCGGCGTCAACACCACGCCGCTCCCCTCATCATCAACACCATACGTCACGCCCGCTTCACTGCTCGCCGGATCCCAGGCCACGAAGAGCGTCGCGCCTAGCACGTGGCCTGTCGCGTTTAGGGCGACGACGCGGAGAGCTTGTTTTTGGATGTGTAAGGGGATCGGGATTATGGTTTCGAAACCGGATTTGGGGACCGCGGCGAGGAAGTTGAAGGCGGGTGAGGTGAGCGATTCGTTGGGGTTGAAGGAGGTGGATTCAGAGGTGCTGATGGCGTGGTTGAGGGCTTTGATGTCGATTTCTTCTTCGTCCTTGCCATCTTGGCTATCCGTGCCATCTTCGGAGGAGGGGGACAAGCCCTGCAACACCCACGTCGCGACCTCCGTCGCCCCATTCCAACTCACGGCCGCCTCGTACGCATAAACGGCCAAGTCCGGTCTCGTCAGCGGCATCCCGACCCACGGGTGTTTGAAGACGCGATATGAGATGATATCGCCTTTCCCGAACCCGATCTCCGGGCCGAAGTGCACGTGGCAGAGCACGTCGCCGTGGATATTGTATTCCGTCCATGCGGCGTTGAAGCCGTAGCCGAGGAGCACGTTGCCTGAGTCTAGGACTTGTACGGAGCCTTGCGATTGACTGCTGATTGGGTGCGGGTTCCAGTATTCGTGGCGGATGGAGACGGTCATGGAGGTCGTGTCCAGGTCCAGGTAGAGGCCGCGGCTGGTGAGGGTGGGGGCGCCGATGCCGCGGGAGGCGTTGTCAAAGACCGTGAGGGAGGTTGTGGTTGTGTTGGTGCTACTGTTGGGTGTCAGGGTGGAGTTGGAGTTTGAGCTGGCGGGTTGAAACCGCGCATGATGCTGCCAGGTGATATTGGTAGCGGACTGAGAAGGCGAGAGATCCGTAAAGGAATTATTAGCGCCACCGAGACGCCAGAGGACAGAGCCCGACTGGCCATCAATATAGGCAAGACAATTCGCGTAGCGAGAGGAGATAAGGAAGTTGCCCAGCTCGTCCTTGTCGATGCTGTTGATATGAAAGAAGTCCCAAGGCCGGTCCTCCGACTCGCCGTTGCCTTCGCGGCCACGGAACATCTCCGCGAAGGTGAAGTGGTCGGAGGCGCGCCATTGGAAGAGCAGCTCGCCGGTCTCGATGTCGACTTCTTGGAACGTGCCGTCGTAGATCCATCCGTCTTGGGGACCGTCTTCGACGGTGCGCAGATCGGCCGGCCGCGTTTCGTAGATGGTGAACACGGCCGTCTCGTTCGATGTGATGTGAAATTCGTGTAGATCTGCGGGTAGGCCGTTGGCGCCGCGGATCTTGTATGCTTCTTGGTAGTTGGAGTCGAGCTGGAATCACTTTTAGCATTCTGTGGGCTTTGGGGATGTCTGATGAGAGGTGTCTGGATGCAGGCTACCAGGCTGTAGGCCATTTGCTGGTCATGGCACTTTATATATAGCAACACCATGAAAGACATATACAGCCGTGAACTCAATCAATCGCAGTGATCCAGACATCCGTTTCATGCACTCAATAGTTATTTGCGATCACGGCGGTGATCACCTGGTAGCTCACATATCCAGACATCCTCCACCCACAAAGATAGAGCATCGTCAAACTCACCATATAATAGGTCCCATCCCCATGACCCGTAATTCCATCATTCCCCGTCCAAAAGGTCAGATAATCCTGGCCCCGATAGCGGTAGACGTTCAAGTTATACGTCTTCCCGTAATCCTTCGTCCAGACGAGATGGCCATCCTGATCGATGATCATCGGCCCGGGAGTTGCGACGCCTGCACCGCGCGGCGCAATCATCGTGAACTGCCCATCCTTGCATTGCGTGCTGGACTCCAGATAGTTGAGCGTGGGCCCGATGATAGGCGTGGATCGATACGTTTCTGTCGGCCAGGCGCCGAATTTCCCTTCATCGTAGTCCACGGATTGATGATAGGGGCCGTAGTCTGCTTGTACGAGACTGCATAGAAATAGACCGAGCAGGGTGAATGTCAAAGTCGTTGCGAGTCGACCGCCGAGCATTGTCAACGGGGGACGATATCGTACTGCCCAATGAAGCTAGTGTTTATACCGTAGTGACTGATAATCGCAAGTAACATAGATCGCTAGCTCCAAAGGATTGGACGGCAAGGAATAAAAATCTGATCGGTTTCAAAACACGAATATCCCCAACCCGCTGTCATCGGAGAAAGGGGAGAAAAGGAAAACAGAATGGTTCGTGCGCCGCTGATTTTCATATTGTCGGGATAGACGCGCGGAGGAGGCCCACCTTTGGGACCCGTCCAGCTGCCAGCGTTCGGTTGTCATTGTCGACAACCTCGATTCTCCCTCATCCTGTTTCCGCTCTCCTCATGGTGGAGGGATAATAACTTGGCACTTGGCAGCCCCAGGTCGGTGGGGAATTGATGCTGCCGAGAAATATCGGTGGTAGGGCTAGATAGGCATCGACGTTTTGTATGCGAAGACTGGAGGATTGTTGGCGGAACCATAGAGTGTTGAACGTAGACCAAGAAGCTAGCGCTGGATGGAAGGTCGGGTACAGCGGGAAGGGCTGAGAGGTCCACCTTTGAGCTGGTCGATACTTGATGATAATGGATTGTTGATGTTGATAGGTGAATTGGTGAGTTCAAAGCAGTAATAATCCGTCTTTATTCTCCGTCCGAAAAAGCGGGATCCATAGCAGATGATTGATTGGTCGAACCGAAGATCCACCGACCATTTACTATCGTCTTGGCGTCTTGGGAAGTGATATGAAGCTGCCCCTTTACGGAGTATATTTGTGGCATTTTGAGCCTTGTAGGGTACAAGTGCTGAGAATAATGAAAAGGGGCTTCTTGACAGCTGCCAGAAAGGTTACAATGTAGGGCTTCAACGAGAGCGTGACATCCCAGTTGGGTTAAGCGCCTTTTGGACATCTCCGGCCTTCGCTTTTCCTTCTTTCTCTCTCTGTTTCTCTCTTCACGTACCTTTATTTCATCTTCACTATGAGCTTCTGTAAACAATACCTGCATCAGTGATGCATTATGCTAATGGAAAATGCAGCTTTGGTGCTCATCTGACGATCTGAGTATTCTATATTCACAGTGAACACTACTGACTGGATTGATGTCACCAACAATTTGAATCGTTTTATTTTTTTCGGCAAAGGCCTTTCCGAGACTCATGCGGAGAACACCAAGAGATGTATTACTATCTAGGTGCGCATCCGGTAGGGAAGTGATCATCGCTGTGAAGTATACCGATTCGTGGGATTTATTTGCTGAAATGCATCGATTTGCGGGGCAATCCATCCTGCCCAACAGTATGAAGGACAACCTGCAATGTGATTCCTTCAGTATCAGGTCCAGTTTGTTGCCCATCCTACAAAGAGCTGCACCATTGTAATGCGCCCCTGCTCAGCCTGGTTCAAGCTGTGGTTCTTTTGCTGCCTTTTAGACAACCGTCTAGGCGTCACGGCATTGTCTCGAATCGATCGTCAACAAGTTGTCTCTGGATTCAACCCAACTCGCAATGCCAGCTCAACAAGCACGCCGATGCAGGTTGGAAATGGTAACTTTGCATTCGGAGCCGATGTAACTGGCCTACAGACATTCCTGCCTTATGGGACCCTGTCCTCTTGGGGTTGGCACAATTCTTCTCTGCCCCATGGAGCTTCACCGGCAGATTTCACCGGCCTCGACTGGTGGACACATGGAAGATTGGTCACCTATGAGATGCCGAATCCTGCGCAGTCCGAGATCTCTCAGTGGCTTATCGCGAATCCGCACCGTATGAACCTCGGAAGAATCGGGTTCGTATTTATGGGTGGTAGCGCAAATATCACCGAGGACGACCTTTTAGAGAAATACCAAGAGCTAGATATCTATCACGGTGTTTTAACGTCTACATTCACTCTCAACGGCCACAAGACCACTGTCTGGACGTGTGTCGACCCATCCTCGGACACAGTATCGGTGCGCCTGCATTCTGAACTGCTTTCTCACGGCCAACTAGCTGTCTTCTTCGACTACCCTTATGCCACGGGCGCGAGTAAATATGAAGCCCCCTTCGTCGGGGACTGGGGTGCTGTTTCAAACCACACTACAGACCTACTCTTTTCCGGAGGGCCAAACGCACAGATCAAACACACACTAGACGTAACAACGTACTACACTGATATACAGTGGAGCAGCAACAAGACAACAATCACCCAAAAGAAGAACACGCACCGCTATATCCTCCAGCCTCCCAAAACCAACAACCCCGACTTCGAACTAACTGCCACGTTCTCCAGCAAACACAACCACACCTCACAGCCATCTCCTAGGACCAGCACCAGCTCCATCACTTCGCGCTGCAAGCACTGGTGGAAAACATACTGGGAAACCGGCGCCTTCATAGACCTAACATCCACAGCGAACCGCACCGCGCTCGAGATCCAGCGCCGCATCATCCTCTCCCAGTACCTCGTTGCAGTCAACGGCGCCGGAAACGACCCACCGCAGGAATCCGGCCTCGTCAACAACGGCTGGTACGGCAAGCTCCATCTAGAGATGTACCTCTGGCATTCGGCGCACTGGATCTCGTGGGGTAAACAACATCTCCGAGATCGGAGTATCGGCGTTTACGAACGGTTTCTGGCATCCTCGCAAGCAAGAGCCTCCAAGCAGGGCTACGAGGGCGCCCGATGGGGCAAAATGAGTGATCCGTCTGGAAGGTCTGCGCCGGGGGAGATCAATTCTCTACTGATATGGCAACAACCGCATGTTTTCTACTTTGCGGAATTGGAGTATCGATCTGTGGTGGCGAGCTTGGATGGGCGAGATACGATGCGGGTTCTTACGAAATGGGATACGCTTCTGACTGAGTCGGCTGATTTCATGGTTTCTGTTGCGTTCTGGAACTCGTCGACGGGCTTCTACGACCTAGGTCCGCCTATGTATCCAGTCTCGGAGAATACGCCTCCGAACAGCACCCGCAATCCGACGTTCGAGCTGGCCTATTGGTATTTCGGAATTGACGTGGCGATCCGGTGGAAAGAGAGATTAGGTCAGTCTATTCCAATGAAGTGGAAGCACGTTCTCGAGAAACTGGCACCGCTGCCCACAGTGGAAGTAACCACCCCGTCTGGAAAAAAAGATATCACGTATACATTGTACGAAGGCATTCCAAATATGTGGTCAGATCCCGAAACAGTAATGGATCACCCAGCACTTACGGGGATCTACGGGCTCCTACCTCCCCTTGCGGTGGTAAACATGACCATTGCCGAGGCCACGGCGGCGCAAGTCGCGCGGACTTGGAACTTCACGGACTGTTGGGGGTGGGATTTCCCGATGCTGGCGATGAATGCAGCCAGATTAGGCAATGTCGACGCCGCGGTGAGGTACCTCGTTCATCCGAACTTTCAGTTCGACGACGTCGGCATGCCGGTTGGGCCGATGCGCAATGTGCCCACGCCGTATTTTCCCAGTAGCGCGGGACTGTTACTGGCCGCGGGAATGTTCGCCGGAGGTTGGGAGAATGCAAATGACACAATCTTGCGGACCACCCCTGCCTTTCCGGCTGAATGGAATGCCATGGCGGAGGGATTTTTGCCGATATTTTAAATCATTGGTGATGTCAGAGGTGTGACCTGCAGGGCTGTAGGTGGAGTCAGATTAGAGCCCAACAATTGTCATGAGAAACCGTGAATTGTATACGTGCAATGCTTCGTAGTCGTAAAGACTAGGCTAATCTATCGCACAAGCTGGATGGCTAACATATATTCCGGTAGCGGGGGTAAAAAAGCCCGAAAAATATACTCAAGAATTAAATATAAGGGGTATGTGTGGTATGATTTTGCAAGCACAGAGCTGTAGGCGTGACAACCTCAAAACAAAATTAAATAAAATCGAAAAGCGTTTATTTGGAGCGCTTGTAGATCTTGGACACAAAGGTCTCGAAGACCTCCTTTTTCAAGCCTTCCGACTCGTCGACAGCGGCGATCTTGGAGCGCAGATCAGCAACGGTCGCCTCCTCGTACTCCCGGTACACCTTCTCCAAGTCCAGATCCTTGTAGATCTGCTTGACCTTGGCCTCCAGCTCGCTGTTTTTGCGACCGTAGGCCTCGTCGAGGGTCTTGCGCTGGTCCTCGTTGCAACGCTTCAAGGCCTGGTTGACCAACCACGAGCACTTGTTGTCCTGAATGTCGGTTCCGATCTTGCCGATGAAGGCGGGGTCGCCGTAAGCGTCCAGGTAGTCATCCTGGACCTGGAAGTACTGACCCAAGGGGATGAGGATGTCGTGGGCCTGACGGAGGTTCTCAGGGGTGGCGAGCTGGAGGTAGTGCAGTGCCAGCGCAATGGGGAGGTAAAAGCTGTAGTAAGCGGTCTTGTAGGTGACGATGAACATGTACTTGTCGAGGGAGAAGTTGTCGAGGTTGACGTTGTCCTCAGGGGCGGTGATGAGATCGCACAGTTGGCCCAGCTCCGTCTGCCAGGTGACCTCCTGGAAGAGTTCGACCAGGTCGATGTAGGCGGGGTGCGAGCGGAAATGTTTGCGCAGGATCACATAGATCGAGGACTCGAGCATGAACGCATCGTTAATCGCGACCAGGCCGACGCCCTGCTGACGGTACCAGCAGGGCTGGCCGCGGCGGGTGATCGATCCGTCCATAATGTCATCGCTGACCAGGAAGAAGGCCTGCAGCAGTTCGGTGAGCCAGCCCAGGGTGCTGAGGTGCTTGAACTGCTCGTCGGTCAGGGGCTTATTCAGGAGAGCGAGACCGGTGTCGGGGACGGAAAGACCACGGTTCAGCTTGCCACCGGGAACGTTAACGTTGAGAGCCTGGTCACATCAAAAGATCAATTAGTATGACAGTGCAGAAAACGGGGTGTCGGGAAGTAGAAGTCCTCGAGGGCGAGTCTGGCAGTCGCACCTTTTCAAACCATTGCATGGCATTCTCGGGCAAATTGTATTTCTTCGCATGAGCAAGGATATCCTGGGCCAATGAGGGGAAAACAGCCTCGAAGGCAGCGCGATCCGTGGTGGAAGCCATTCTGGGAGAGGAGGGGTGAGGTAACGCGGTCGGTGGAGCAGAGGAGGAGGGACTGGAGGGGAAAAGGAAGAGAAGCAGAAGAGAGGAGGAGGCGAAGGAACAATCAATTAATTCCCAAAGATTCCCAAAGAGGCAATGATTGTTGCGGCCTTCGGCCCCTCAGACGTGTTTGCTCTGTTTGCTTTGTTTGCCTGCGGGTCCCCAATCGGGTAATCCTTTGCATTCTCCCGCGTCTCATACTTGCTGGCCGGCCTCTTCTTTCTCCAATTCCTCTTCCCCTTCCCCTTACCCCCAGTCGGCCTTCTCGCAGAGCTGCATCGCAACCATGGCGGCTCAATTCACCGACGAAAATATCCAGGAACTCAAGTTCCGCCTGGAGGATGCCGCAATCAAATGCTCCGAGCGTTGTTTGTATCAATCCGCGAAATGGTACGCCCGAGGCTGTCTTGTTTTGGTCTTCCTCGAGACGCCTCAATGAATTAACGGATGATATTTGCTGCACTGTCTAGGGCGGCGGAAATGCTAGATTCAATCCTTCCGATTGATCAATATGACACGGACCCCGAATCGCCGATGGATATCGCCGATGCTCCTGCGACCCCTCCGAACCCTTACCTCCGAACCCAGGACCCTGCCGAAGCTGCGCTGGAGGCACAGGAATCTTACAAGTATCTCTTGGCGAAGTCATACTTCGACACGCGCGAATACGATCGTTGCGCCGCCGTCTTTCTTCCTCCGACGATTCCCCCCGTGCCGCTATCCACAACATCCCCGAATAATCCCAAATCGAGAGAGTCCTTAACACCGCAGAAGGGGAAATCGAAGGCGTCGCCGTATGCGGGGGTAAAGGAGAACAGCTCGACGCGCAACCCATACCCCAGACTTAGTCAGAAGGCCCTATTTCTGTCGCTGTATGCGAAGTATCTGGCCGGAGAGAAGCGCAAGGATGAGGAAACCGAAATGGTGCTGGGTCCCGCGGACGGTGGAACAACGGTCAATCGCGAGCTACCGGATATCGCGCGGGGATTGGAGGGATGGTTGACCGAACGTCGTGAGAAGGGGCAGGGAGATAGCAGCCAGGGGTGGTTGGAGTACCTCTACGGTGTCATCCTTCTTAAAGGGCGAAACGAAGAGGAAGCGAAGAAATGGCTTATGAGAAGTGTTCATTTGAACCCATTCCACTGGGGAGCTTGGCAGGAGTTGAATGACCTGCTTGCGAGTCCGGAAGATGTACGGCTTTCAAACGATGGTGCCAACGGTTGGATAGCTAACTTTTCGACAGCTGAAACATGTCATTGATATCTCCCCGCAGAATATCATGACGCTTATCTTCCATGTGCATTGCAGTCAGGAGCTGTACCAGGCCACGGAGGAGACATATCATGCCTTGTCGGAGCTCGAGACCATATTCCCTACCAGCGCGTTCTTGAAGACCCAGCGAGCCCTACTATACTACCATTCAAAAGGTATTGCCCTCACCAAGCGTTACCGAACCGTCATTGCTAAGAATACCTACCTGTAGACTTCGAGGAAGCATCGCATATTTTCACAGAAATACTCATCACCTCCCCCCACCGCCTCGACAGTCTCGATCACTATTCCAACATCTTATACGTTATGGGCGCGCGCCCGCAGCTTGCTTTCGTCGCGCAGGTTGCAACCGCTACCGACAAGTTCCGACCCGAAACATGCTGTGTAGTCGGAAATTACTATTCACTAAAATCCGAGCACGAAAAAGCAGTCATGTACTTCCGTCGCGCCCTCACTTTGGACCGTAACTTCCTCTCTGCCTGGACCCTCATGGGCCACGAATACATCGAAATGAAAAACACCCACGCCGCCATTGAATCCTACCGTCGAGCCGTCGACGTCAATCGCAAAGATTACCGCGCGTGGTACGGTCTCGGTCAAGCCTACGAAGTCCTCGACATGTCCTTCTACGCCTTATTCTATTACCAACGCGCCGCCGCGCTTCGACCCTACGACCCGAAAATGTGGCAAGCCGTCGGATCCTGCTACGCCAAAATGGGCCGCATCGAGCAGAGCATCAAGGCGTTGAAACGCGCCCTTGTCGCGGGCTCATATTACGCCGACGATACCGCCTCCAACGCCAGCGGCATGCCCGTGGCATCTAGCCGGAAGATCCTCGACCCCGAAACCCTCCACCAGATCGCCACGCTCTACGAACGACTCGGCGACGAAGACGAAGCGGCCGCGTACATGGAACTTACGCTGCAGCAAGAAACCGGCCAGGTGCCCGTTGAAGAAGAATACGAATCTTCGGACAATGAGAATGACGAGGAAAACGACGACGAACGATCCGCCACCGGCGAGCGCTCAGGCCGTCGTCGCGCAGGACACGGCAATTCTATGGCCAGTCAGAATAATGAGGACGACGATACATGGCACGGGACCGGCGTTACGGCGACTACATCTAAGGCTAGATTATGGCTTGCACGGTGGTCGTTACGAACCGGGGACCTTGAGCGCGCTGATCAGCTAGCGAGCGAACTGTGTCAGGATGGGGTTGAGGTTGAAGAAGCAAAGGCATTAATGAGGGATGTCAGGGCTAGACAGGAGGGTGATCAATCTTGAATTATCGGTCAGTCGGGCAGACTTTGATTGTTTAGAGCGCTTGTTTCGTATCTTTTGTATCAATATGGGCTAGCGAGGCGTTTGTTTATTGTTTCAGTTCTTGTGGAATGGCAGCGATGGTCTGTCAGATGCATTTTCATGAATATATACATATTTATTCAAGATCAATACACCGTCACGATATACTACCGTATATCGTGATGCCGTATAACTGTAAAGCCTGAGAGGTCTAATGTACAAGTGACCAAGCATTTTGCCGTTTGCCAACTGATCCACAGCTCTTTCTAACCTTTATACGGCATTACCGATGTCCTAAACGAACAAAAAAGCGGCTCAGGAGACTCCAAACTCACCCAAACAAGATACCTCACTTCTATCAAATGAGATACAGATAGAGAACCTGGGTATATCTCCTTCCATCCCACAAGGAACGGTACTAGTACTGGCACCGTTCTCCGCGCCTGGATCGTCAAGTTTCGGTCCTGGCCGTGTCTGAGCTGCGGTGGGCATAGGCGTGCAAAGAATTTCCGAACAGGATAGGATCCCATCCGAATACCCTTCCTTCCCCATCGCTCTGTTCTTCTCTTTCATTCTACGGCCCGTTCCTGGAAAACCAGCACCAACTGTATCCGTATTCCATTTCACGCATGCGTAGAAATACTCCCGCGCGATACCCGACCATGCTTCGCTGAGACTGAATATGGTATCATCTGCTGAGGCCGGAATTTCGAGAAACGCAGAGTCAAAGATTAAGATCTTGCCGGGTGAAGAGTGGGTATGGAGGAGTTGGTGATGGAGGGTCTTGGTGAGTGTCAGGATGAATGAACCTAGGGGTGTCTTTTGGGTGTCGAGAAGAACAAGGCCTTGAGACTTTGCGGGTTGAGATTGGATGGTTTGCAGGAATGTCATTAAGGAAGAGGTTGTGGTGAGTGTGGTGGCGAGGATGGTCTCGTCTTTGTCCCTACTCTTGTAGAGAGGGCCGTCGAGGTATATTGGGATGGTGGATAAGGGGTTTTTGGAGTGCGTGTTGGAGGCGTGAGGAACGTTAGATAGAGTCTTGGACTTGGGTACTTCTTTTCCCAATAACTTTGGCTCTTTGCTGCGTACTTTGAACTCGATCGAGAGGCCGGGGTTTGTAGGATACTCAGGGTGCCGTAAACGTAGAGTGGATTTGGGATCCATGTTTGATCTTGATGCAGCTGTGAAGTCTTTTTGTTGGTTTGGAAGATTCTCAGTGCTGGTCAGGAAATGGCCAGCGGGTTCGGATACATCAGACCGTGGACTGGATGACCTCGAGGTATCAACATAGATCGGGATCTGGGTTGTACCTGAACGGCATGCGACTCCCGATTGTCTTGGGTCACACACAGCCGCGGACGCGGACGAAGCTGGCGGAGACGACGAGGCAGTCGTCGAGACCATGCTTTGTGAACGATCAACTATGTACTTAGATGACCCATCGCCCAGCTTCAATCGTTTTGACCATTGCTGTTCCTGTGCCAGTTCCTCAGATGGGATGGCTCGAGCTTCATCCGCTAGAAGCTGCAGTTCTGTGAAAGAGGCTGCTTCTTCGAACGACCGATCTGAATGAATCTTCAGGATCCTGGGGAACCGAAGCGTGAAATATCTGGCGCTGGAAGGCTTTTCGAACCCACCGCCTAGCATTTCGACGATAAATGGCTTCTTAAATACGGTAGCCATACTAGGCAGGCCACCATGCCCGAATTCTATATCAAACCCGTGATGATCCGAGTCAGCTGCGCAGGCACTGAACTCGCCAACTTGATTGAGGATTTGCATGTTTTGCGGACTGATGCCATTCCTATCGATCACGTCAATCACTCGAAACCTCGGCTTGACCATAGATTGCAGTACGCTGTCTTTGTTGACAAGACATCCGATGAAGAAGTGTGTCCACAGTATCTCTTTATGGCGCTCTCTGAGCGCGACAGCATCTCGAGCGTTGTATGATCCACCGATGATCGTCAAGTCGACTGTATCACCGAGCCCTGGAATGTAATCTTTCTTCAGCTTAATCCATCGGCCGGAGGAGGCGTTTGTTCCCCAAGCAAAGGTGAAGTAAGGGTCCTCGCAGCCTTTCAAAACGAACCCTTCCCATCGCTCAGCGATGCCTTTCCCGAGAAGCGCCTCAAGTCGAGACTGACTTCCGGGATGTGAAAAGTCTAGGACACGCTGTTCAGCTATATCAGCGCGGCCATGGATGAGTTTGACCAGGCTTTTGAGAAGTAGCCTTCTCTCTCGATGGGGTTTTCGCAGGCAAACATCGTCGTCAAGTAGTAGGACGTCAAAGAAGACAATCATCAAATGCTCATCAGGGTGCGGTCTTCTGGGGTTAGGAAAAGCATTTAAAAACGACTGGAGTGAGGCAACTCACTGCGAATCATTTTCCGTGCCGATAAAGGTGCCAGACCGAGAGATAAATTTACGCAACTTATGGAAATCCATGATTCTACGGTGCGCATCACTCCATACAACCAGCTCACCTTCCACAATACACCGGCGCGAGAACTTGCAGTCCGGCGTCTTCATTCTCAGAGAATCCTTGAGAACTTCCTGAATGCCAGCCCTATCTTCCGTGGAATCCTTCCCACTCTTGGAGAAGATTTGTATGGGGTCGTGAGGTCTCGAGAGGTCGATATGAATCTGACAGTATTCCCCATCATACTTCTTCTCTATACTCATCCGTCGACCATCAATCATCTGACAGCAATGTTTAATACTGCGAGCTTTATAATAATCCGGACGTCCAATCTTCACCCCGGTCACCGGATACAAATGCTTCAGGCCTATCGCGCCCAAATCTGTCGCCTGGCCCGGTTCCGGATGCGCAGGGAAATACGACAACGGCTCCGTCCTGAGCATGCTCAACGCTGCCTCGAACGAATTCTGAAACAGGAGCAGCCGCGGTAAGAGGAAGTGAAGACTCCTCAGCGCCACCCCCTCGGGCACCACAACCGGATAGTAACACTTCAGTATCATGCGCGTCAACCACTTCGCATCCCGGCTCCCCAGCCGGCGATAGATCGGCGACAGCGCCTCCTCGACATCCACGGCCGTTCGCTGTCGACGCACCCTCGGGCCCGAGAACCTGCTCCGCGACGCGATCTGCGCCAACACGGAATCGATCTCTTCCACCGTGACTTCTTGACCGTCGAAGATCTGGTTTTCAGCTTGCTTCATGACGTTTTCCACGCATTGCCCGAGATCCGCGCCCCCTGACACGCGCCATTTTTCGAGTTCTTCGCGACGAGAGGATCCAAGGAGTAAACATCGTCCGATAACTCGCGACAGGGAGACATCTTGCAGCATGTATACCCTGTCTGTCCGTTTCTCTGGAAATAGACATGATAGGACGGCGAGCTGGTCTGTGTCTGCTTTGCGAAGCCGCTTGGCATGTTGTCTGAACCATAAGCTGACGATGCGGGCATCTGGATCTGTGGAGCGGGAGTGTGTGGCAGCTTTGAGGATTCGATTGTTCTCGAGCGATGAGAGCAGATCGCACAGATGCTGAAACTTAAAACCCATATATCCTGTGTCTTGAGGGGTTGGTGTGGTTGGAGACCGGGGGTTTTTGCTATGATAATTTCATTTTGGCGTCAGTTTGCTCATATATAACGAGGGCTTGGCCTTCGCCTGTCACACGAGAAATACAGATGATGGAAGGCATTTGGGGGCAAACATCGCAGGGTTTGTGACTCGGAGGACACGAAGCCGGCCGGACTCACGCGAGACCGCGTCCATGGATCGCGAGAACACGTGATCCGAACCAGACTGCGGCAAATATCGCAACAAAAAGCAGGTAATGCAGTTGACACGATCTAGTATTGCTAGTGATAGTAGCAGCTTATGGTAGAATACATGAGACACACGGCGACGTCGTCCGTGCGCTGGCACTGTGATAGATTGAAGATTCCCAACCAGACAACCCAAAGAACGTAACCCCGTAGAAATGAGCAACACCACCAAAAACTCCGAGCTTTTAAACGTGAAATATATGGTATGAGAAGGGAAAAGGGGATGGAACATGGAAGTAGTGGAGTGGCGTTTACAAAATACCCTGCTTTTGAAGACTAGTGATCTGTTAGTACTCTGTCCATAAGTGAATAAATAGGGTGCAAGGGGAAACGTACTCCAAGTAGATTCTCTCCGGCATCACGTTGCCCTCTGCGTCCTCCATTTGCACCACGTTATCTTTGTGCTCTCGGTCCTTCTTGCGATCCTGCTCAAGCTTCTCCCACAGTCGAATGGCGTCTTCGATCCGGGTGATTTCACGAAAGAGGTTGGTGTTCGATGTGATTCCTAGACACTTCAGACCGAAGATGTGCAGGGCCTCCGAGAAGTGTTTGTCAAACGCGCGACGACCCATGTATACAAAGTTTCCGCAAATCTCACAGGGGTACTCAACACCCAGTCCGTGCAGCTTGTAGAGCCAGTAGGGAATCGGCTTGCCGTCCCAGGCCAGAGGAAGCTTGAGAGGATTGTAGATGCGATCATCTCCCTCGTCATCAGATTGATCACCTCCCTGAGTATCGCCAACATTTTCAGACTCAGCAAGCAACGCCTCCAGTTCGAACTGGCGCTCTCGCTCCGTCATGCCCTGTTTCCGCTCCACGTTGACCCGAGTAGCTTGGCGCTCGCTGCTCAGAGCTTGTGCCAGCGACCGAACGCGGTGCTCACGCTCCGCGACGGCGCGCTCTTTCAGACGATGGGTCACAGAGTTTGCACCTCCCGCCGAAGGGGCCGGCTTGTCCCCAGACTCCCCGGCAGCCTTGCGGGCCTCAGCAGCGCGAACGTGCTTCTTGCCGGTCAAATGATTCTTGTAGACGTTCTCGTTCTTGAACTCCTTTTCGCAGTCGGCGCACCAGATCCCTTCTCCGGTTCCTTCGGTCTTGGGTCCCTGAGTCCCGTCCTCGGCTTTCTCCTCCGTCCACCCGGGGACTTCATTCGCGGACCACTGCTTCTCGAACTGCTCATCGAAGCTGGCAAACAGCTTCCCGAGATCCTGCAAAGGCCGCACCTTCTTAATGAACTCCTCCAGGTAGTTGGCCAGCTCCCCCGCATACCGGAAATACGTATCAGACAGCTTATTGGCCCGCTTGATAGTCAACTGCGGTGGCGTGAAGGCATCGAACACGTCGAGGTACTGCACATACGTCAACCGCTTCACGCCAGGCAGGTTGAGGTACTTTTCATGCAACATCGTCAGATCCAAGAACTGTCCGTAGCCTTCTTCACCCGTAAACATGTGGTCGATGTCCAAGCCGAGCGGCTCGCCTTCGCCAGGCTGGCGGCGCTTGTACGCCCGCTCCAGGTTCTCGACCGGCTCGTTGGGATAACGACGATGGAAGTCTTTGATCTCGTCCAGCTGCTTGTAGAATTCTTCGAACTGATCACCCGTCGAGATCGATTGGATTTCCTTCTCGCGCGCGCCGTCCGCATCTTTGTAGATCTCGAGGAGCCGGTTCGACTGTTCGTCAATGCGGGTTAAGAAATGAGAGATTTCGTGGTCGCGAACAAGGCGCTCGCGGATCTAGAAGCAGAAACTGAGAGTTAGCTATCTGTCGAGGTAATGTGCACGTTGGGAGTATGGGGCTCGACTCACGTTGCGAGGTTCATCTCCGACGCGGTCGGCAACAGCTTGCTCTAACCGTTCCAAATCCTCATGGATAAATCGCTGCTCTTCGAGAACCATCGTGAAACAAGGACGCGCGAATGTCGTAACGGCCCCTTGGTGTAAACGGTGTTAGATTCCCCTCCAGGTGCTGGAACGTTGATCGCCGCTGCTCGAGAGAGCTTTGCGGGCGAGGTCGACATCACGTGATCGCGGGCGGTGGCACTCGAAAAGTCGCGCCGGAGACGGGTTTCGCAGCCACTACTCGACTACCTCATTCACCACTTACGGTTGCCTGCATTGCGATACCTTTCTCATTTGACAGTCTGAGGAATCCGGAGTATTCAAAATGGCGGACGGTATCGATCGACGAGCTGATGGTATGGACTGGATCCCCAGATTTGGCACAAAGACAGTGCGCCCTCGAGTACTGACAGCGCAAATTTAGACCGCATGGAGTTCAACACCTCCAAGGAGGTGACGGTCGCTCCGACCTTCGAGGACATGCACCTGAAGGAGAGCCTCCTTCGTGGTATCTACGCATACGGTTACGAGTCCCCCTCCGCGGTGCAGTCGCGTGCGATTGTCCAGATCTGCAAAGGTCGCGACACCATTGCCCAGGCGCAATCTGGTACCGGTAAGACGGCGACATTCGCGATCAGTATTCTGCAGGTTATCGACACTGTTGTCCGTGAGAGTCAAGGTACGTTGATATTGTCTCCTAGGGGTGGTGGGGGTTTCAGCAACTCATTGTCGAACTAGCGCTTGTCCTCTCGCCCACTCGTGAACTTGCGACTCAAATCCAGTCCGTCATCATGGCCCTCGGCGACTACATGAACGTGCAGTGCCACGCCTGTATCGGAGGCACGAACATTGGTGAAGACATCCGGAAGTTAGATTATGGTCAGCATGTTGTCTCGGGTACCCCCGGTCGAGTCGCGGACATGATCCGCCGCCGCCACCTGCGCACCCGCAACATCAAGATGCTGGTTCTCGATGAAGCCGACGAGCTCCTGAACCGTGGATTCCGCGAACAGATCTACGATGTCTACCGCTACCTGCCGCCCGCCACGCAGGTTGTCGTTGTCTCCGCCACCCTGCCGTACGACGTGCTCGACATGACCACTAAGTTCATGACCGACCCGGTCCGCGTCCTGGTCAAGCGTGACGAATTGACCCTCGAAGGCATCAAGCAGTACTTCATCGCCGTGGAGAAGGAGGAGTGGAAATTCGACACCCTTTGCGATCTCTACGATACTTTGACCATCACCCAGGCCGTCATCTTCTGCAACACCCGGAGGAAGGTCGACTGGTTGACGGACAAGATGCGCGAGGCCAACTTCACCGTCTCCAGCATGCACGGCGAGATGCCGCAGAAGGAGCGTGACAGCATCATGCAAGACTTCCGTCAGGGTAACTCGCGTGTGCTGATTTCCACGGACGTCTGGGCGCGTGGTATCGACGTGCAGCAGGTGTCGTTGGTTATCAACTACGACCTGCCGACGAACCGTGAGAACTACATCCACCGTATCGGTCGAAGTGGTCGTTTCGGAAGGAAGGGTGTTGCCATCAACTTCGTCACTAGCGACGACGTGCGCATCCTTCGTGATATTGAACTGTACTATTCTACGCAGATCGACGAGATGCCTATGAACGGTAAGTCTCCCATGCTGTCCCCCCCCCAAAAAGGAGAATAAGGTAGAAACTAACAACCCTCGCTAGTTGCCGACCTTCTCTCCTAATCAACCCCTTGCTGCTAAAACACCTTGGACCTCGAGTCCCGGCATGCATATGAATGAAACCGAAAAGCAACCCCTAGCTAGCTCTCTACAAAATACCATCATCCCTCCTCGACCCATCCAGACACCCCCCCCACTAGGACCAACGAACAGAAGAGCTAGGTAGCCACTAAGGTACCCACTCTATGACCTCAAGCCAAAAAGCCCGCATAAAGACAACGGAAAAAAGGAAGGAACCATACCAGCGTGGAGGAAATGGGAAATGAACCAAAATCGTAAGTCCCATTACCACTCACCAGATCCTCAAAACATACCAGTCCCTGTCCTATCTTAACTAACACTCCTTGTCAAAAATCTCCCAGTTTCATGCGATATACCTAGTATGCATGCCGGTATACTAAGGCTACCTGAAATGAGAATTAAACCAGCCAGTTGCTAGGTGAATTTGGATTCTGTTTTGCAATTGCTTTTTTTTTAACTATTCTATCTGTTACTTTCATGGCGTTTATTCGAGTTGGGGATTTCTTTATCTTTTTTCAAAGTGATTGCTATTTCTGAATCCGAGTCAAATCAATGATCTTATATTTATTTTTCTTGTTTGGTAGTCTTAACTATGAATATATGGATCTTGCAGTTCTTGACTTGATTTCCTTTATCTCCAAGGGATAATAGTAGTTAGCATATCAGAGACTGCAAGGAAGGCCTGACCAACTATCAGCCAGCTGAGCTTTTCGGTCTAGCTACCTTAGAAGTGTGTCATTCTGATACCTGGAATTTCTACAGATGAGGACGTACGTATGCATGCATCCATCCACACTTTACGAGTTACGAAAGTTAATTCAAATGCGCAAAGCAATATATATAAATCATGTTTCCACGCCGAGTCTACAACTAGCAACCTGAGTAAAGACAGATTGACCATCTTGACAAAACGATAAATCAGGAGCGAATGGGCACGAGAAGAGCAAGAGAAGCAAAGGATACCAAATTCACTCCGCCTGACCGTTCCGAAGTTAACCCTGAACCATCCTTATCACCCAAAACCAGACATATCAAAAAAGAGAACAAGGGGATGAGGATTGCGGAGAGAGAGAGGTAATTGTAAGGGATGGTTAAGAGGATAGAAAGAGGGGGGAGGGAAAATGGAAACAATGTATGATAGCGCCCATGTCGCGGCCATGCTGGAGAAAGGGAATTAATGCTCGGTACACATGAAAGTAGAACATATGTCAATTTGCGATACCAAAAAGGTGGCGCCTGCTACCTGTATCGACGATCCCTGATAGCCCAGGGAAGTAAAACAATGTGTATATGCAGAACTGTTCAGGGTAAAAGTGAGAAAAATGGAAGATGAAAGATAGAAAATAAAAGTAAGAGCAAAGACAACAAGGGATGGGTCTTGGACTCCAAAAAAGCTCCAGGTATATTCCCATGAGATGGAGGCGAGATTACCGGCCGAAAACACAAAAATTCCACATACTGTAAGACAGGAGAGGGGTCTCATTAAGGGGTGAATGTTGAACGTAAAGCACTGGTTCGTGCAAATCCACTGGCCGATACGGCTCGGTTTTTACCCATCAAGGCATTAGGGTGGGTATCACGTTCTCGGGTCCAGCTGCAGTTTGTTAATTGCTGCTGTCCATCGAATCAAGAAGGGACAAAGAACTTACATTCGGACCAGGCAATCATCACCGGCAGTAGCAAACATGCCGGGATTGGTGGGGTTCCATGATATCGCATTGACGCATCCCGAGATGTGTCCCTCCAGGGTTTCCACAACCGTCCCGTTTTCTCTGTGCCAAATATAAACACGCGAGTCTGGATCCGAGTTAGCACTAATCAAGTCTCCCGAGGGCCTGGTGTAACTTGCCTTCGCTCCCGCTGACAACAAAGTTCTCCACCGCTCCTCCGAAGGCACTTCGGATGACAAAAGAACCCTGCTTCTGCCCTTGGAACCGTCGGATCACGTTGGTGGTGTCAATATCGATGAGCTGTATTTGGCCCTCTGAGAGGTTCACCAGCATCTGGCGAGAGTCTTTGCTGACGGCAACGGACGTAGGCTTGCTCTTCAACGGAAGGCAATATTCCTCTTCGTGAGTCGTGAAATTATAAACGTGGATCTTTTCTTCGACATCTGCCGCCAACAATCGTCGACCGTCAGGGGTGATAACACAGTCTTGAACGCGGAACCCGCCCGGCCACATATAAATAGCATGGCCGCGCAAGCTCCAATGGCACAGTTGCGAGCTCAAATCAAGCGAAGCCGTCACAAATGACTCTCCGTCGGCAGCCCAAGCGGCAGCTGTTACTGGTTGACGATGATGATTGATGGTTAAGAGGCAGCGACCCGTCTACGAAGATAGTAAGCAACGATGATCAAACGACAAAGAGAGAAAAGAACAAGAGACAAATTATCAGGTATACAGGGAACTCACCTCAACGTTCCAAACGCGAGCTTTCTTGTCCTGGGAGCAGGTAATGAGTTTGGTATCGTCCGGACTCCAGCTGGCATGAGCCACTCCGTCGTCGTGATCCATCAACTTGTGAATCACGGCAAACGTTGTCGTGTCGTAAATGATGACGCTATGGTCCCGGCCAGCCGTGACTAACTTCGTGCCATCATGGGAGAATTGACAGTACCAGACTTCGTCGGAGTGTTGGTTCAGTTCGATCCCTGTTCGAAGCGGGAAATCATTGCGGTCGCACATATGGTCCGAATACAATGACGGGGGAGATGCGGTGTTGTGATATCGGCATTGGTTGATCTGATTTTGCTTGACGTGATTAAGCAATATAGCCAGACGATTATCCGGGATCATCACGGACGGGGAGATGGATTCTAGCAGTGATTAGTTCTATTTTTGCGTAGAATAATGAATGGTGGGATACTCACTGGATAGATCCGATAATAGTTGTTCCCGCGAAAAAGCCATTGGGCCGTTCAAGCCAACTTGATCGCGAAGATGCTCCGGAGGACACATGAGAAGACTGACAGCATTTAGTAGGGATGCTTGTGGGCAGAGGATAGATGGCCCTCGACATAAGAAAGACAAAACCGAAGTGAAACTCACCTGGATAAAGCATGAAGACGAGCAATGTCGTAATTGAGAGGCGTCAGCTCGTGTCGAAGAACTATGAGTGCAGCTCCGAGATCACGGCTCTCCAGCAGTTCCAGGAACTTCTGCTGTCGGAGGTAGAAGAGCATCTCATTTAGCTCGGCATCTTCCACCAGAACCAATCTCTCCTTCGCAGGTGTGTAATCCCGACCGTTACTTAACGACCGCCCGTTTCCATCTGGATAAAACGAATGTATCAGGATCTTCTCGGCCTCGGCCCATCGCCCGTCCAACACCGCAGCCCGGAACGTAGCAACGCCAGCACTTTCCAGCTGATAACCACTTTCCTTGCTCAGCATCGACGCCGATCCATTGTACCCCAGCTCGAACAGACTCTGGATCAGTATCCGGGTGACTTCCTCTCGATCATGACCGAAATATGACGACGACGCGGGGGGTAGTTTCTGCGAACCGTTCGTGTGCAGATCACCGTTGGACGCAACAAACGAGGCCTGGCCATTCAAGGCGTGCGAAAGACCCGCCTTCTGGGACGAAGATGCAGTGGAGCCGTTAGAGGCTTGAGAGAGACCATTCAAACTCGAAATTCCATCCGGCCGCATATTTGCCAGGCGCCTGCGCTTGGGGGATGGCGAACGGCCTTCTGATATGGTGTGGGACTGGATACTGAGGTGATCTGGGAAACTGGCCTCGCTTGCCGTGCGTTCTCCCAGGCGACCGCCTGTCGTTCCCTCGGTGGTTTCTCCGGAAGTCTCGGGGGTGCTACTGCGGCGACGACGGCGACGAGAAGACGACGAACCCAAGTTCCCGTTCACACGAGCAGACCTGCGATAACCGTCGACGAAGGATACGGAGTTTGAGGGCGGCGGGACGTTGCTTGCAGCGGCGGCGGCCGAGCTGTTCGGTCGGGATGAGGAAGGTCGGGAGGGGATAGGAGGGTTGGGGTGGTCGGGAGCGGCGGAGGGTGTATAGGTGGGTGAATCGTTTGCCAGCTCGAAGGCTTTGTAGATCTGCCCGTTCACCTGGCTCTGTAGAAGAACCAGGGGAGCAGATCTATTAAGAGCGGCGGGTCACTGTGATGCTCGCCGAAGAAGCTCGGGGATTAGATTGTTGAGAGCTCGTCAGAGGTCTGTAAGTCTGCCAATGGTCGGAACGAAAGAGGCGAAATAGTATTTTTTGGGGGGGTGCTTGCGTTTATTACTGAGAGAGATAGATGTCGGTGAGAGAGAGGAGGGGGAGGTAAATGATAAGTTGGGGTAGGGGGGTTGATTGATAGTCGAAGAAAACGCCCCAGGAATGCACGGGCGGAGAGGAGAGGTTCTTATCGGAGTAAAGGTGACTGAGGTTCGGGGAAGGCGCCAACGGAGGTCGATGTGGAGGGGTGGGGAGGGAGTAAGTACAAGGGAAAGCTTGAGGTTTTGTGCAAACTGTAGAGAAAAATAATAACAGCAGATAAAGAGGGTTTTTGTGGAGAAAGAAGGGAGAGAGAGAGAGCAGAAAAGAGAGAAGGAGAGCAGACGGAGGGAATCTGCGAGGGGAGAATTGAGAGCTCGTTAGGAAAGACGAGGTTACCTTAGGGGAAGTCTTCACTTATACGCCGTGGGGCGAGTCACGTCAGGCCTTGGGCACGTTATCTCCTTAGTGAACCTGGACTGTTTGAAATATCGGAATGTCTTGCTTTTTGATCTGGTCCTTTCTTTTTCTTGGTTGCTCTCCTGCCCATTCCATTACTCCTTCATCCTTCTGCGTCATCCCGGTGCTTCTCTCTACCTCGTAACTATTTACATACACGGGAAGATCAACGGTCTCAACAGTCTCAAGTCTCAACAGCGCTCACTACAAAGCTCATTTTAAATCCCTCTAGGCCCTACATAAACAAATTCACCAAGGGAACTCAGCAAGAGGTCTGTGTGAGCAATAATTATACAGTTAAGAAAACAGGCGTTTCTAGCAAACACACTGGGCGGTCAACGACTCCGACTACGGACTATGAATACCTCGCCAACACGCAATACGATTCGATCATCTGGATTCTCCTGGCAGATGACTGGTCCCTACGCCAATCTGAATTCAAGGATAACAAGGAGAAACTGATTGTAGGCTGACTCGCCAGGGGAAACGGGTATTCGAGGGAGATCAACGCATCACCTGCTTCGACAGGGCCATTGTGGTCCGGTATTCAGGACAGTAGACATCATGAATTATTGACCTACCATTCCCCTTCATTGTCTGGTGACTGATATACGAAGCCCAAGCTCAAGCGATCGAGAAAGAAGATGAAAGAAAAAGGCAAGCTCGTCTCGAAACGAAGCCCTGAAACCCACGTCAACGGTGGAGACCCGGCCATCTGGTACCAGTGAAGCAGGTCCAGGTGGACTATCACGACCATCCCGGACAAAACCCCTTGAAAGTTGAAACCCGATCGATTCAATCCCCGCAATAAGAAGGGCAGATAGGGGTGTTAGGTACGGTCTGATGCATACCCAAGGGGAGTTGGAAGGACTCGGGTACTTCCGCAATCGTCCGTTTCGGGGGTGCCGAGCCATTTCCGAATGGGTCCGAACTTCCGACGGAGGTCCGTCTACCTAGTATAATATGGAGTAGTGTCAGTGTCACTACAAGTAACGGTCGACTACATGACTTAACCATGATCTCTTCAAGCATCCGAAATCTAGAATGTTGAGCGACCTGAAGAAACGAAAGTTACACCGAATGGCGGGGATCTGACCTCATGATGATGCTTCCTGCTTCCCCACATCTCCTTATATCTTCGGCGGACGTCCCGTCTGACTTTCTTCTTTCAACCATCTTCACGGTGTTAATCAATCACCCTCAATACAGCCTCAAGACAACTTCAGAACAACCTCATACCTCACTACAAATCCTACGTCATGGCTTGCGATTGCAGCAGCGGTAACACCTGTGGCTGCTCCGGTCCTCAGAACTGCACCTGCGGTAGCAGCTGTACCTGCAAGGGATGTGGCGTAAGTCTCTCTGCCCTTGGAATCGCTGGAATGCGCACGAGGCTAATCCGTTGCCCTTACAGAAGTAATTGCCCCCCATTCTACGGAGTACATCAAATTCGACGATGGAGTTGATTGTGGAAATGGAAATGAACTGAAAATGAATGATGCAATTTACGAATAGGATGAGAATGAAGTGAATGAGTAGGAGTATTGTACTGTACACAAATGATGCTGGATTCGTGATGATTCTTAGCAGTTTATGATCTAAATTAACACACCGAGACTATGTCTCGAATCGAATCGTCTTCTCTATTTGTATTCACATGGCGCTTTTATACTCTCGCACTGCCTGCGACGCCTTGAGCGCTCCCGTGATGCTGAAACAGATGAACGGCGACAAGGCGTACATAATCTATACTAGTTAGCCTGTTGCAACTTGACAAGGTGGGCTACTTACTGTCAACGTCTTCGCAATGGCCATCTTCTCCTCCTGCGATACCCTCGCCAACTCCGCCAGCCCCGAAATGACCAGCGCCGGCGGACCGGCCGGCATCAGCATCAGACTGAACCAAAGGATGGGATCCGATTGAACCAGACCCGTCCGTCTCGCCAGGAGGTAGATCAGCGAGATACTCAGTCTATTTTCATTAGCTGTAACTATTCCCCTAACAAGAAACTTAGGTGATACTCACGCCGGCCACAACACCAACCGCACGACAAATATCGTCGCAACGGCCTTGAACGGCGTTCGGCCCGAACCACCACCACCACGGCCTCGCATCTGCTCAAAGCTGACTCCGAGCTTACACCCCACCACGAATATCTGCAAGGTCGTGAACAACTTGCCTATATTCTTCACGCTAGACGTCAACCACGCATTGAAGATTCCACCGTCCTCGTAGGACGCAAAGAACGCCTTATGCAATTGCGGCACGAGCCCCAATACCGCGCCTAACAACGTACACCCGATCGCCACATCCGTGACCGGCGACTTGAACGGCGCCAGGATCTCCTGGCCCACGCGACGTAGCGACACCGAGGCTTTGGACATCCAGTTCTTCAGCCTCAAGCTCAGCCCATGCTCCCGCTTCGTCCGCCCTCGCCTAGGGAGCAAAGACGTCTCCTCATCTCCGCCGGGATAGCGGTGGTGATACCGTCCCTCGTCCTCGCTCACGGCATCACCTTCACCATCATCTTCCTGCTCATCCACATCCTGATCCCCTTCCTTCAATATCTTCGGCCCCACCGCATACCCAATCGTATTACTAACCACAGCACAAAGAATGAAATAGCTCTGCGCGCGCGCAATCGCATCAGATTCCGTATCCCCGTCCTCGATGATCAACTTCAAACTGCCCACGCTTTCGAGGCTCTGGAGCAGGAGCAGTGGTAGCGAGGTCGTGTTGTTGAATGCGCATGCGGGGATGACCCATGCGGGGAGTTTCAGCATCTTAGAGATCGCGTACGCGAGCCCGATTGAGATGCTGGTGTAGATTATTGACCATGCTGTACGGACGGGGGGGAGTTAGCGTTTAGCTTGCGGTTTTCGCGTGGAGAGGCCCACTGCTCGCCAAGTAGATAGGAATCTATTCAATGAATAGGAAAATAGAAAAGAGATGGTGAACGTACCAAGAACAGGTCCATAATTCGCCAAATTCCCCAACTCCAACTGTTCCCCAAGATGCGTGATAATAAGCGCCGGAAGAAGCAGTTTCATACCCAGCGCGGCGACATCGTCAATGGAGGATTTCTGGATCAGTCGGAGTCGTTGCGCCGCGGCGCCAAAGGACATTGTGAGCAGTACCGAGACGCATGCTTGGAGGGCGCCGAGGAGGGGGACGATGACCCCTTTGTCCATTTTGTGGGTTCTGATTGTTTGTTTGGGGACTGTATAGGGGAGGTTTATTTTATATATCGGGGTGGGATGCGGTTTCGTGGGATAATGTTTGGATTTACTATTGTTTGATGATGGTTTTATTTTCGATTTCTTTTGGTTCTTGTTGGGGTGTCGTCATAGTGGCGATGACGATGATCCGGATTTATCTTGGTTTGGGGTACTGTCATAACGACGATGAACACGCGAGAAGTTTTAAGTGTAGTAGAATAAATTTTGGAGATCAATCATTAGATCTCCAAGATAATGTCAGGTGAAACTAATTGGTGGAGTATAATTAACGGTGAATGACTTTGTCTCTAAACCGCCCCTACTGTAGGTACTTGTAGCATGAACTATATCTCTACAATTCAACTTCTACTGCCCTTTTCCTTCCACCCATCTACGTCTTATTGACTAGCGTAGCCCCACTAAACAACTAAACAAACACCCCAGCTGCCAACATCCTCACACCAAAAACCGTTCCGCAAAACAACGTCACCACAGCCACGAGACCAGCCAAAAGACCCAGCTGCGCTAGATGTTCGATCCCGTACTGTGTCGCTTTGATCTGTTTCCGTTTCCCCAGTTTCGTGGTGCGCGTGTAGAACGGCACGTACTTGAACTCGAAGAATGATTCGCCGCCTAGTCCTTCTGTTTTGTCGGTGATGAGGGTATAGTAGAGTCTGCGACGGAACTGGATGGGTTATTAGCAAGCATTATATATGCGTGTTTAACAAGCAAGGGAAAGGTGAAAAAGGGAAAGGAAGTGCAAGTACAAGAGGGGGGTGAAGAAGGGGTCATACAGCAATAAACGTCTGATCCAACCCCGGAAACAACCTCAACCCATAACAAACGCCCATCACAACGAAACAATACCCATAGATCAGCGCCTGATAGTACCAATTCGGACGCGGCAGATCCAGCCGATCGGACAACATATGCCCATTCAGGTGTCTGGCCATCGCTTCCATGAACTCCTTAGACGCGTACGTCGGCGCCGTATTCTCCAACCCGAGGATGATATTCTGCGCCAGGATCTTCCCCACGTCTGTCGGGTTGATCTCTGACACGAGTAGCGACTCCATCATCGCGCGACCGGTTGCTGGCGAGCGGAACGGCTCCGTCGGTGTTCCCATGTAGTATGCGACGAGACGCCACAGGGCGAGATAGTCGTTGATTTCCCCGTCGCGGAGAAAGATGCCTTGGCGTGGGAGGCCAAGCCAGATGACGCTCGTCGAGAAGGTGTTGATGGTGGCCATGCAGTCGAGGTCGCTGATGGGGATGCCGTTTTCTTCGACGTTGTAGTATTCCGGGCGCTGCTGGACGAGCTTGAGGATTCGGGAGCGAACCGATGCGTGGAGGAGTCGTACCCGGACGGACGAGATGTGTCCGTCGCCGCCGGGTTTCATGGACTCGAGGGATAGAGATACTTGGAGGACGTGCTGGAGGGTTTCGAGGAGTCGGCGCCGCACTACGTCTGCGGAGAACCCGCCTGTGCGGGTTAACGTCTCGACAACGCGGCCGGAGCCCCTGCTTATGTTAGTTGACTTGGTCAACTGTAACTGAGTATATCTGGGGAATACTAACATGCCGCCCAGGAGGCTTTCGAAGCTCAGCTATACCAGAGCCCCATATTAGCAACGGCCCATATAGTCAGCCAGTCCCGTGAACTATCTACTCACCACATTGAGTATCGGTAGCCCGTAGCGAAAAAACACTTCCTGTCCTCTTTTGATCTGGTCCCAGTCCACCCACTCCGGGACGGTGTTGATCTCAGTCCACAGCTGGTCGAGCTTAGGATCCTCTTTTGCATGCTCCTCAAGCAAAGAGTACAGGTCCCTCTTCGGCCCTTTTGATGCCTCTGGTGGCGCAGTTGATGGGCGAGGAGCACTCTTGGGCGGCGAGATCTCGTCCAGACGCTCGAGACATTCATCGGCTAGCTTGTCGTACGTGAACATCTTGGGCCGGAGCTGCTCTGGAGAGGTATGGAGGTCCGTCCAGCGAAACGAGTAACCCCAGTAGTGGCAAAGATCATTTCTCTTATGATTGGGCGTGGTTTCAGCCATCTTTGCAGTAGAAAACCTCCGTATAGACCACAACCAAAAAGTGTATAACTCCGCAGGAAAAAACAAGAAGTCAATATTGTCTAAAGAAACAATACCCTACACAACAAACCATCGGCTGGGCAAATCGAGGGTTTATAGACATAGCATAACCCCCATCACCCCTGCTCGCATGAGCACAGTGACGAGGGAACACCATGGTGATGGGAGCAGCCGAAGCCAGAGAGAAGCCATGGAACGAGGTAGTTCATCGTCCCATTCCTATTTGTGTAGCACCGTCCCAGGGCATGTGAACCGGATCCCAGGCCGTTGTGTCGTGCGGGGAAACGATGAAGATTGGACGGATCCGCAATGATCATCGCTCACTGACACATGGGCAGATTCATTCGATGCATTCGCTAGTTGCGATTTTTGTGTGAGTCCTTTGGAGAATGTGACAGTCTTAATTCCTTGAGGGTGTGAAGGTTGACTCAGGGGGTTCCGGTAGATAGCGAACACCGGTTCTGATATCGGTAGCTCCTCATGATGATCCGTAGCGCGCAAACTTATTGACAGAATGACGCGATGACCAAACTGTCCGCTGTTATTAGGCGTCATGAATATGAACTAGAACTCTTGTCTGAATACTCGTGTCTATCGGGAACCTGACTGCCACGCGCCATGTTATTATGGAATAGGACGCGACCAGGGCCACCCATCAGCTACTTCGTTCATTGCCTATGATCAGTGTGTACTTCAGGGTCTGAGTCCGCTCTCTGCCAGGTAATTCGTCCTGCGATGAGTCCGTGTCCTCGTTGAGGGAGGCTCCGATACCTCCAGATCGAGGAAGTCGGGGTTCAGTTAGGCACTGCGTCCACCAGGAAGACATTTAGGCAGCTGTCGTTCGGACTGCCACCAGCACTCGGAGGGCCCAAGGGACCATGGAAAACCTTCCGTAGACCAGGCCGACGTTGGTAGAAATGGCATGATTGAAATCTGGCGCTCTCAGGGGCAAGCTTGTCGATGCAGTGGTTCTAGATATAGAGGCGAGCTGCTTCTATATTCTCACCACATTTCGCTGTAACAATAATGTTGGCCGTATTCAGAGACAACCCTCCATAATGACTTTCTTTTAGAGACTCATTTATCGTCTCGGAATATTTAATCTCGCCGCCTTTGACCGCTGCGCCATGACCAGGTGGAGATGCCGTCAATATTGGTATTGGCCCTTTGAACATGTTCAGGCAATCGTCGGAGAAATTCAATCAATCAAGAACTACCGTCAGTCCGACAATAATTCATCAAAAAGGTCACGATCGACCAAGACCGGCAAGGTGGACGAGCGACTATCGGTAGTTAACTAGCAGCCGGGCTGAGTAACCCTCCAAGGCAGTCAGACCAGATTGGACATTTTGGCTGAACTCTCCTCCCAATCATTATTACTGTAATCCGCATGTTAGGCTTGGGAGTGCGTCGACTGAAATCCCGCCCCTCCTTGCTGGATCTGATTGCCAGTCAGGGTGTTGAGCAACAGCAGCAGCAACAGCAGGAAAGAGAAGCCAACGGATCGAGGTCGTCATCACCGCCCGGGCCCGACCACCTGCCACCGCCCATCCCCGTTTCGCCCACCTTCCCCAGCACCGCCAGCACTTACAGCTCCGACGACTCCTCTCCCTCCACCTCCCTTTCCACTGTCCCCATCCACCCTCCTGTTTCACACACTATGGCCTCATCCAAGAGAGCCGCTGACGCCGGCGAGGCAGCCCATGGCGCTGTTTTCTCCGTCTCCGGTCCCGTCGTCGTGGCCGAGAACATGATCGGTTGTGCTATGTACGAGTTGGTATGTCACCCATTCCCTCCACCTCAGCAATGAAACCCCGCGACCTTGTGCCGTCTGGCGACCTTCTCGCTAACTATGTTATGCGACTGTAGTGTCGAGTTGGTCATGACATGCTTGTCGGTGAAGTCATCCGTATCGATGCCGATAAGGCCACCATCCAGGTTTACGAAGAAACGGGTACCCTCCGCACCACCCCCCTCGATCGCTTTCAGGAAGCTTCATATCAACTGACACATGCACGCCTTCAGATGGTGTAACGGTCGGCGATCCCGTCACGAGGACGGGTAAGCCCCTTTCGGTCGAGCTCGGTCCCGGCTTGATGGAAACAATCTACGACGGTATTCAGCGACCCCTGAAGGCCATCTCCGACCAGTCCGGAGGTATCTACATCCCCCGTGGAATCACAGTGAATGCGCTGGATCGCGAGAAGAAATGGGATTTCACGCCGGGTCAGTACAAGGTGGGCGACCACATCACAGGAGGTGACATCTGGGGTACCGTGTTCGAGAACAGCTTGCTCAACGAACACAAAATCCTCCTCCCACCCCGTGCGCGCGGTACCATCACTCGGATCGCCGAAGCCGGAAGCTACACTGTCGAGGAGAAGCTGTTGGAGATCGAGTTCGATGGCAAGAAGACCGAGCACGGAATGATGCAGACCTGGCCCGTCCGTGTGCCGCGCCCGGTGAACGACAAGCTGTCCTCCGACGCTCCCTTCATCGTCGGTCAGCGTGTGCTGGACTCTCTCTTCCCCAGTGTGCAGGGTGGTACCGTCTGTATCCCCGGTGCGTTCGGATGCGGCAAGACCGTCATTTCGCAGAGTGTGTCCAAATTCTCCAACAGTGATATCATCGTCTACGTCGGATGTGGTGAGCGTGGTAACGAGATGGCCGAAGTGTTGATGGATTTCCCGGAGGTGAGACTACGCTTTTCGGCATTGAGGACTTGGTTCCCGTACTGACTTGGCTTCTAGCTTTCCATCGAGATCAACGGTCGCAAAGAGCCCATCATGAAGCGTACCTGCCTGATCGCCAACACCTCCAACATGCCCGTCGCTGCTCGTGAAGCCTCCATCTACACCGGTATCACCATCGCCGAATACTTCCGTGACCAGGGCAAGAACGTGGCGATGATGGCGGACTCTAGTTCTCGCTGGGCCGAGGCGTTGCGTGAGATTTCGGGTCGTCTGGGAGAGATGCCTGCTGATCAAGGTTTCCCCGCCTACCTGGGTGCCAAGCTGGCCTCCTTCTACGAACGTGCCGGAAAGAGTCTGGCTCTGGGAAGCCCCGAGAGAAACGGCAGTGTTAGTATTGTCGCTGCCGTCAGTCCTCCGGGTGGTGACTTCTCGGATCCCGTCACCACCAGTACGCTGGGTATCGTACAGGTCTTCTGGGGTCTGGACAAGAAGCTGGCCCAGCGAAAGCACTTCCCGTCGATCAACACCTCGATGTCTTACAGTAAATACACCACCGTCTTAGACAAGTACTACGAGAAGCACCACCCCGACTTCCCGCGCCTGCGTGAGAGCATCCGAGAACTCTTGACCAAATCCGAGGATCTGGACCAGGTCGTGCAGCTGGTCGGAAAGGCGGCCCTGGGTGATTCGGACAAGATCACCCTCGACGTGGCCGCCATGGTGAAGGACGACTTCCTGCAGCAAAACGGTTACAGTGACTACGACCAGTTCTGTCCTCTGTGGAAGACGGAATACATGATGAAGGCGTTTATGGGCTACCACGACGAAGCCCAGAAGGCCATCGCGCAGGGCCAGAACTGGTCCAAGGTGCGCGACGCCACTTCCGACATCCAGACTTCCCTGCGCAGCATGAAGTTCGAAGTGCCGGATGACGAGGCGGCCATCACGGAGAAGGTACGTCTTGACACATCCCACCCCCGTCCAATATCCTGGATCCATACTAATTTCTACAGTACGAGAAAGTCCTGCAGAACATGTCGGAGCGCTTTGCCTCGGTATCGGATGAGTGAGCGCAGACGGGCGCAGTTGTTTTTGTCGAGAGCCTGTAGCATAGCAAATTCCCATTTTCGTCTTGTAGTTATTTTGCCATGTTTGAATGAATTGATCTCGTCATTGTTGAGTAGATCCAAGACACCCATGAGGATATAATGGTGGTTCAGGCAGCATTGTTTGGCCGCTTTGGGTGGCCAAAAGCACATGACGCGTCCGTGTCCGATGGAGGCTGCCTAACAAACATAGATTAGGAGTCATGGGCACCGAATGGGGGTTTGTGACCCTTGTAAATAATAATGCTACCTAGACCTTCCATAAACCCCTGTCCAACGTGGTAGTTAGCTAGTAGCGGACAAGTTGACTGAAGTGACTGCGGCTAGGCAAGGCCCAGAAGTGCAACGGAAGCGAAAGTCTACACTTGGCCGTTCCTCTCGACCTTCCCGCCTTCTCTTCCTCCACTCCGACTCTACGCTAATCTGCTACTTGCTCCCTCCGCACGCCGGATTCCCGCTGGGTTCATCCTCTCTTCATATAACCCTTCTCTTTCTTCTTCTTTCTCTCTCCTCTTTTCTTTCTCCAATTCGCTGTATACTCGCTTCCTGGATCTGTCGCCTGCCATGGCAAGCCCGACTAGCCTCTCGTGCGCTCTCTCCCCTACCCCCTGGTCCCTCGTGTTGAGTGCCGCCGTTCTGACTCGTGAGCAGCATAAATGTGAACGATCCTAGCTTGATCTCGCTGGTCAATAAGCTGCAGGATGTCTTTGCGACAGTCGGGGTAAGTTGTTCTTCTGTTATTGAAAATGCAGTGGCCTGTTTCCCACAGCCCCTCCGTCGGAGACTTGACTGACACCGCTTGTTCCCTTTTTAGGTTCACAACCCCATCGATCTGCCCCAAATCGCCGTCGTTGGTTCGCAGTCTAGCGGTAAGAGTTCGGTTTTGGAAAACATAGTCGGTCGCGATTTGTAAGGGTTCCTGTGGATGCATGTAAAATGTGGTGTGGAGAACAAGAGGCTAACCAGGGGGTTCTTGCCAACAGCCTCCCCCGTGGATCCGGCATTGTCACTCGACGACCTCTCATTCTGCAGTTGATCAACAGACCCCCTCGGAGTGCGCAAACGAACGGTGCTCAGGAGGAGAAGCTGGAAACGACGGATAAGGAGGCCAACCTGGACGAGTACGGCGAGTTCCTCCACATCCCCGGTCAGAAGTTCCACGATTTCAACAAAATTCGCGAGGAGATTGTGCGCGAGACGGAGCAGAAGGTCGGTCGCAATGCCGGAATCTCGCCCGCCCCCATCAACCTGCGCATCTACTCGCCCAACGTCCTGACCCTCACCCTGGTCGATCTGCCCGGTCTGACCAAGGTGCCGGTGGGCGATCAGCCCAAGGATATCGAGAAGCAAATCCGCGACATGGTCTTGAAGTACATCAGCAAGCCCAACGCGATCATCCTGGCCGTCACCTCGGCCAACCAGGATCTGGCCAACTCCGACGGGTTGAAGTTGGCACGTGAGGTCGACCCGGAGGGTCAGCGCACCATCGGTGTGTTGACCAAGGTGGATCTGATGGACGAGGGAACCGATGTGGTGGATATTCTTGCGGGCAGGATTATCCCTCTGCGCCTGGGATACGTGCCGGTGGTCAATCGTGGTCAGCGGGACATTGAGAACAAGCGACCCATCGCCTACGCCTTGGAGCACGAGAAGAACTTCTTCGAGGGACATAAAGCGTATCGGAATAAGTCGTCGTACTGCGGAACGCCGTATCTGGCCCGGAAGCTGAACTTGGTGCGTCCTCCGGTTTGAAACTAGGAGCTCTGGAGACGTTGACTGACTGTTGGTAGATCCTGATGATGCACATCAAGCAAACCTTGCCCGACATCAAGGCCCGTATCTCGTCCTCCCTCCAAAAATACACCTCGGAATTGTCGCAGCTAGGTGACTCGTTGCTCGGTAACAGCGCCAACATCGTTTTGAACATCATCACGGAGTTCAGCAACGAATACCGCACGGTCTTGGAGGGTAACAACCAGGAGCTTTCGAGCATGGAGCTGTCGGGTGGTGCTCGTATCAGCTTCGTATTCCACGAACTCTACTCCAACGGTATCAAAGCGGTCGATCCTTTTGACAATGTCAAGGATATTGACATCCGCACCATCCTGTACAACTCGTCCGGTTCTTCGCCCGCGCTGTTCGTTGGTACCACCGCTTTCGAGTTGATCGTCAAGCAGCAGATCAAGCGACTAGAGGAACCCAGCTTGAAATGTATCTCGCTGGTCTACGACGAGCTTGTGCGCATTTTGGGTCAGCTTCTGAACAAGCAGCTGTTCCGCAGGTACCCTATGTTGAAGGAGAAGTTCCATGCGGTTGTCATCGGCTTCTTTAAGAAGTGTATGGAACCGACTAACAAGATTGTGCATGACTTGATCTCGATGGAGGCCTGCTACGTCAACACTGGTCACCCTGATTTCCTCAACGGTCAACGTGTAAGTTCCAGATAATACCGAGAATTTACCACCAGATACTGACAGAGCAGGCTATGACCATCGTCAATGAGCGCCAGCAAGCCAGCAAGCCTACCCAGGTCGACCCGAAGACCGGCAAGCCGCTTCCTCCTCGCGCTAACAGCCCGTCGGTGGACCTTACTCAGGACACCAGCAGCGGCTCTGGCTTCTTCGGTAGTTTCTGGGCTTCGAAGAACAAGAAGAAGATGGCGGCTATGGAGCCTCCTCCCCCCGTTTTGAAGGCGTCGGCCTCGCTGTCTGAGCGTGAGAGCACGGAAGTTGAGGTGATCAGTACGTATAACAGAGGTATATGAGTTATGGCGGTCACTAACGCGAAACAGAGCTGCTCATTACGTCCTATTACAACATCGTCAAGCGTACTATGATCGATATGGTCCCCAAGGCCATCATGTATACCCTTGTCCAGTATGTTCCGAGGTTCATCCCACTCTTATGTTATGCTAATGACCTTTCAGATTCTCCAAGGATGAGATGCAGCGCGAGCTTCTCGAGAACATGTACCGCAACAGCGAACTGGATGACCTGCTGAAGGAAAGCGACTACACAATTCGGCGACGAAAGGAGTGCCAGCAAATGGTGGAAAGTCTGTCTCGTGCCAGCGAGATTGTCAGCCAAGTGCAATAGATGCCAGGCCAGACTTCTTCCCCCCACCTACCTCTACATCTCATTTGAAAAGACAAGAATGGTTTCCGGTTTTTAAACCAGCGCAAGTCTAGTTCTTGGCTGATTATTTTTGGGAGGGAAGTTGTTTCATCTCACGCGCGAGAGTTACGTATCTAAAGTTTCCTTATTCATCTGTTCCTTTGCGCTACGCAGTTCCGAGCCCTTCCATACCATACCACAACACAACATGACATGACACGATTTGTTCTTTGTCTTTTCTCTGCCCTGCCCTGCCCTGCCTTTCCTTTCTTTTCTCTATTTTCTCTTTCGGATGTCAGGTTGGCTTGGGTTGTCAAGATCTCATATCACGAATTTGTATCGCCTATCATAATGATTGTTTTGTGGTTTGATCATGGTGTTTATTCTTCTTCTTTTCGAGTCACTTTTTTCTTTCAACGTCTACCTAGAATACAGTTCCTTTTTAACTAGTAGCTTACTTAGCTCGGCGTGGCAGTTTGCTTCGCATGCTTGTCTGTCCTGTGTCTTCTTCTTCGTGTATAGTACCTAGTTACTATGACTTTTTTTTTTTGATGCTATTTTATAGAAAGTAATTGCAATTGTTTATTAGCTTTGCGTTGTCTACGTATGTTTCGTGTCAACATCCGGACAAGGGACGGGTTTTAGCGTGTGGTGAAAGGGGATAGAAGGACATCGGTGAGGGCTATCTAGCTAGTAGAATCATTTTATTTGCGCTTCATCAATCATTTATGAAAGATATATTAGGGTAATTTAGGGCAGTTGATTGCTAACTTACAGACCCACAGTCTGGACTGGCATAGGGCTGTTCACTTAAGCTGATGGGGTTATGGAACGGGGATCATGACATGAATAGAAATAGGAGGCATTGTAATGATTTTTATATCCCTCACTCCTAGAATAGATTATTCTTAGTGTTTTTGGTAGAATACCGCCGTCAAGTTCTGGAACAGCACAATTTCCAATGGGTAGCTGGACCATGTTAGCATCAGTTTAAGAAACGGTGATACTAGTCCGGAGTAGCAAACTGTCCACTAACCTGTAGCCAACAAGGCTTGATGCAGCGGGTTATACTTGCAATTTCAAGGTATGAACTAAAACATGTTAATTTAAGCACTCCTGGGTAACTGTGGACCCGGTAAGCAGCGAACCCATGAAGCTTGGCTGTCTTGGAATCAGCCCATATCCACCACTTGCTGGTATCTAAGCTATCCGTGAATAGAGATAAGCTCATTGGGAGGAGAATTGCACTTTTATCAAAAGATCAGCTTAGGAATAGAGACATTGCGTTGTCCTCTCCCTTTAAGCATGAAGTATGTGGTTCAAGCAACGTTTGTCCGGCAAGGTACTTACTCCAAAACAGCTGCATCTATCAAAAAGGATTTTCTTACTCTGCCGATATAAGCACTACTTTATAACGCAAAACTGCAGTCCACTTAGGTACCCTACCCTGGCAAACCCACCCATGGCTCAATCCCAAACATTGGTGGATCCACCGTGTATAGGAATGACACTAGGGCGGACCAACCTCCGAGGTGAAACAACCCTCCCGTCCCCTGAACTACACCATTGTCCCGGAGATTAAATGGCCCTGAATCGTATGGACGGAGAAATATGGGCTTCAGACAGGGTAGATCGGATTCTCTCCGCGTTTGAACTGGTTGTTATATAACTTAAGGTTGTTCCCCTCGGACTTCTCGTCAGTTTATCCCTAACCAGTTCCTCAGTCGAAATCCCCTCACTTCTACCGCCCAACATGCATAGCTTCGCTGCCCTCGCCGCCCTCGCCGCTGTCGGTCTCGTTAACGCCCAGGAGAGCATCGAATTCGGCCCTGCCTTCTCTCTTGGCCCTACCCAGTCATGGATCCGTGAGGCTGTCACGACTTTGGTTCTCCCCGAGGCTCCCAGCCCCCAGGAGGACCGTCTCGCTCTGTGGCCTGGTATGGGTACTAGCGGTGGTGATCTGATCCAGGCCCTTGCCGTTTCGTTCTCGGACCCTAACGCGTGAGCTCTCATAATTGCAATACTTGCGGATCATGAAGCGGAACTGACACTATGAAGCAACTGCGGCGCCAAGGAGGGACAGTGGTGCACTTGGGCTAGCACCCTTCAGGGTAATATACGTTCTTTGCAAAATTGTCGTATTTACTGTACATAGCTAACAGAATTAATAGGTGAACAGCTCGGCGGCAAGCAGGTCCCTGCCTCTGCAGGTGACGAGGTCAAGATGCACTGTACGTCTCTTCCACCAACTCTCCAAATCGACATCAGCTAACCAAGCGAATAGACAAGTTCAACGATGAGACCAGCAAGTACGACCAGACGGTTTCCATCAACGGCGAAGTCGTCTCCACCTTGTCGACCAGTAAGTCGTCAAATCCTCCCCGATTTCTGATTCCACGATATATGTACTGTACTAACACATTCAAGGCTCCGGTCAAGCCCAGGGCTGGGGCACCGCCGTCGAGGCCCAGGATAACGCCTCTAAGAGCAAGGTCGCTGCCCACAGTATGTTTCACCTTCTAGTTTACCTTAAACCATACCGGGATGATCGGGATATTGGATAATTGCTAATTCGAGCAGAGTACGTCGACACTACCATCATCCTGAACGCCGCCGACTCTACCTTCGCCGGCACCCTTGGCCTCAACAACGCCGATTCGACTGGCCTGAACACTGAGGATAACAAGACCTTTAAGGTCGATACTATCAACATCAATGCCCACACCTTTAACTTTTAAGGGAGTTGAGGATTGATTGCATGGGGAGCTTGACTTGTGCTGGTACATAAAGTGAAGGGGGATGTGTATATAAATAATGGATTTCTCGCTCACTTGACGTGTTCGTGAATCTAGAGATATTGAAATGCATAATATTGCTAATTGGAGTTCATTCCATGTTGTAATGAAAGGGGGTCCAAGGATAATAATTCTCCTTCCCAGCCGCCGTAACAATTTTATATGACGAAGACTATATACGAAATCAAAATTAACAATCCATGAACCGTGAAGGAAAAGCACGCCGCAGATAACCGGGATGATAGATGATAAAGATGAACAAAATTCGACCGCAATACTTCAACCTCCACACTACTCCAATTCCGTCGACCCACTTGATACGATCTACTCCAACTCCCCACGATACTCTTAAAGCTATCTCCATCTCATCATTCCTTTGTACATCCTCAGTAGTTTGTACCTGTCACCACCTAACAAGAATGGCACCAACAAAGCGCATCGCTGTCGCTCAATGGCATATCAAAGTTCGTTTTCCAGCCATTCTTACCTCAACGAATACTCATCGCTTAGTGAATCATCTAACCTCGACATAGGACCTCGACGTCGAATACAACCACAAAAGAGCGTGCCAATACATCCGCGAAGCCGCATCACAAGGCGCCGAACTGATCGTTCTTCCCGAGTACCCATCTCCCCCAATCCATCAAAAACAACCCCACTAACTAAGAAACACAGATACCATCTCAACGGCTTCACCCCCACCTCCCCTCTCTACGCGACACAAGCATCCACCACCCAAACCTACCTATCAACCTACCAGTCCCTCGCCCGCGAACTCCAAATCTGTCTCGTGCCCGGAACTATCGTCGAGAAACACGGTGACCGGCTCTACAACACCGCGTACTTCATCTCGGCCGACGGGTCCATTCTCGGCTCCTACCGTAAGAAAAACATCTGGCATCCGGAACGCCCGTATTTGACTTCCTCGGGGCTCGACGAGCGCCATGAGGTGCTTGATACGCCCATAGGGAAGGTCGGGTTGCTAATTTGTTGGGATTTGGCGTTTCCGGAGGCGTTTCGGGAATTGGTTATCAGGGGCGCGGAGGTGGTTGTTGTGCCGACTTATTGTGAGTTCGTCCCTTACTCTCTTTGTGTTCAGATCCCGCTCGGTGGTCGACTTTGCCAATTGGCTCGACGAAGAAGATAAGTGGGTTGTTGTTAACTGCATGAAAAGGGACAAAACTCGACGCCTCCCCCGCCCTCCTAGCAGCAAACCCACACTGCGAAACCCTTCTCCTCGAATCAATGCTCACGGCGCGCTGTTTCGAAAACACCTGTGCCGTGGTCTTCGCTAACGCTGCGTCCTCCGCTGAGGACAGCGAGGCCAAGTTCCTGGGTCTGTCGGGCGTGCATGTTCCTCCGCTCGGAGCTGTTGGGAAGATGGGTCCCGAGGAAGGTGTGCTCACTGTGGATGTGGATATGGGGTTGGTGAGGCTGGCAGAGGAGAATTATAAGGTGAGAGAGGATTTGGGGAGGGAGGGGTGGCATTATGGGTATCGGATTTAGGGGATTTGTTGGGTGGTGTATATAGGTTGTTGGGTTCTGTGTAGATAGAGAGGGCATTTCTCAGTTCGTGTCTCGGTCGTGCTTTGACAGGTAGGACCTGGAGTATAGTGAATAGTCCATGTTGGATACTACTAGTGACTGTTGGGGCGCTTGATAGAAAGTTCTCTCCCCGTTGTATGACTCCACGATGGGCGTATTAGATTCATGATGCCAATGACAATCTCCATTTAGTCATGCAGCCTCTTGCATAGAAATAGTGTCATTGTCACCTCATAGGCCTGACATGTCGCCTCTATCAACTAGTTCTCGTTCGTCACTAATACTAATCCAAGCACCCAGTCCCAACATTGAGTCTTTTGTCATTAAAACAGGCTCTATCTCCACATGAACGACTATGAGTATTTTCTGCATGTGATCGACGTCATAGTCAACACGTTCTCCATGAGCTCATTTCGCAAATCAGAGACAGTCCAGGCCTCAGAGCTTGAGATTGATACAGTATTATTAGAAATTGATCAGGATTTCTCTGTTGATTCTTACGAAATGTGAATTCTGGCCATCGAGATCCCCGTTGTATCCTGAGAAATGAAAAAGCCCTATGCGGGTACTGGTTATCGAAACTACACCACCGGGTACAAAACTCGAGAGGGGCTTTCTACAAAGCCGCAAACATCTCGGAATAAAAGTCCCTGTCTTGACCTTTTGTACCCCTGTACCGAGGAATCTCCGCAAGAAGCCGTTGTTTAATCTGATATTAGTTAACCCGCCAGTAACACCCTCAAATATGGGCTCAAGAAACGCTCGCGACGAAGCCTGTGACACCAAGTGTGGTCAGAGATTTTTATAAGGCTAACTAATTCGACAGCAGTCACATAAATCATCGATCTATGTGTGATAGTGGCCCGGGCATCTATGAGAGAATTCATAGTGAAGCCCGCGAAGGAATCATCCGCGGACAGGCTACGGAAGATACAATTGTTCCTCGGTCTATCTTCCTCCACGTGAATGCTGTCTTGCTCACTGGATCGAGGGGGGAGGTGCAGTAATATGCAGCAAGGAACAGGGAAATTAAAATGAGTTAGGTAGATTAAGATAGGTAGTGATAGTGAAAGGAAGTACTGCAACCCCCCTGTAGAATGCTTAGCGCTGTCTCTTGAGCAATGGTTTGTTGGCATCGATAGAACTTGCTGCATCGTCACCCTGGGAAGGTACTATTCTTGCTTGTAGCTTGGAGCATAAGGTTACCATTATTCACAATAGTAATTATTATCTTCCTATAATATGATCAAATGTGTAAAGACTCCAATAACTACAAGATTATGTTCTGCATACTACAACCTGTGCCGCGCATCTAGCCTCCAATCAGGGAATAATTTCCAAGGCTATGCAGCCCTCCAATATGCCCAGGAAAATTATCCATGACCTAAATTGATGTTATGCGGAAATTAACATGACGTGGGATATCGGTAATGCTACTTGGTGATGTAATTGTCGATGACGTAGGGGCGTAAGCCAAGACTTTCGCCGTTTATAGTTGACGTCTACACTTATAAAAAGCCAAGTGAGCCCTCGAGTCTCTTTCTTAATATCATGCTCAATCTCACAAGCATTCACAAGAAACCAATTTTTTTCATTTAAACACAAACCAAGTCTTACCAACTTCTTCAAACAACCACAACGATGTCTGACACCGGCCGCAAGGATTTCTCCACCAGTATGTCCTGCAAGCACCCATCAACTACATCGCACTTTGAAGATACAATGATCTAACATATCCTTCCCTTACAACAGAGGCGCAAGAGAAGCTCACGCCCGAGTCGCAAAAGTCCACCGCCGACAAGATCTCCGAGACCTTCACTGATACCTCGGACCGGATCTTCGGTGCCGGTCAGCCCAACCAGGATAAGTCCACCACGCAGCGCGCTTTTGACAGTGTTCGTGGCGAATCGGACAACCAGGCCCATGGCAGCAGCTCGCAGACTGTGTGAGTCATCTTTTTCTATCTACCTACGAGAGAGGGGAGTGTCCAGCAGCGCTAACAGTGTTATTCTACAGTGGACAGAAGGTTAAGGACACTCTCGGACTAGGGGGCAACTAGATGATAACGACCGTCTCTAAATGATCTAATGGCGCGATAATGTGTGGATTTGGTCAGATTGTTTCTGTTCGGTTAATATGGTAGGAGAGGCATTTATTCTCTCGCTGCCTACTCTATCTATCTGTGATACTACGACCTAGTGTATTATGAATATCAGATGAACATGATAATGCAATCAAAGATAATTTGTCGCTATTTCCGAATTTATTGTTGTAAATAGCATGGGAGCTTCTCATTTGTGGTATATCCTCCGACGGGTTGTATGCAGCCCAATGGTGACGTCATGGTGAGGGAATCCCATATACGACATTCTCCGATTTAGTCAATTCTATCACGAAGGGCTATGGGACAATCCGTTATAATATGAAAAGCCCATCTCTCTAATAGTGACATCACGTTCTAATATCTTTTTCCATTATTTGGTTGTAGACCTTCATCTCAGGTCCGGGTAATCCCAAAACATCGCTAGTGTTGACTGGCCGAGATATCAGCTCAACATGGGTATCCTCAGTTTCTTCCATTCGATAGCCGATTACTTCCTTTCATGGATCCATATGGTTAGTTTACTGCTTGAATATATCCAACTTGCAGCATGGTTGTTGATACTTCTAGGTCCAAAATCGAGAGATAGGATGGTTGACCGTAGATCGCAAGGTGAGCAGCGTGACAGGCCTCCCACCACACAAGCTGAACAGATATCACCAGACCGGAAAAGAACTCCGCGAGCAGCAACCGCTTCTCAAGAAATTGAAACTGCTGTTGCTATTCAACCCGTTAACAGAATGGATTGACACCACCCACGTGATGCGCCTATACATGCACAACCGAGCCATCGAAGAAGGCATGCCAACCTCATACATTCTTTGCTATGGAATCGACTACATCTAACCCACACCAGGACGAAGAGAAAGCACCCCAGCCTCTCGCCGCCGAATCAAAGAATTCGTCGACTTCTACCACATCGACATGACCCAATTCGAGCCCTCCGATCTCGCCGCCTACCCGACCTTTGAGGATTTCTTCACCCGCGCACACGCACCCGGTAGTCGACCGATTCACGAGCAGGATGATCCTGCTAGCGCCGTGGTCGTCGCGGACTCGCGTCTTGTGGCGTATGAAACCGTCACAGAAAGCAAGAAACTCTGGATCAAGGGCGATCGGTTCTCCATTAGCAATTTGGTCATGGATAAGGCGTTGGGGACGCAATTTGCCGACGGTCCCGTCGCGAGTTTCCGGTTGTCGCCGCAGGATTATCATCGTTATCATAGTCCGGTGACCGGGGTCGTGAAGCAGTATAGAGCGATGCCGGGAGATTATTATGATGTGGATCCGTTCGCGATTAGAAGTAAGGTGGATATTTTGACGAGGAATACGCGTGATTATGTGGTTATTGAGAGTGAGCGGTTCGGGGATGTGCTGTTTGCTGCGATTGGGGCTACGGAGGTGGGTTCTGTGAGGTATGCTGGATCCTTCTTCTTGTTGTTTATCGCGGGTTACTAACAGGGTGTACGGTGTAGGATCCATGAGCAGTATCAGCAGCCAGGGAGCACGATTCGCAAAGGGGACGAGTTAGGGATCTTTCAATATGGAGGGTCATCGATTATCGTGGCATTCCAGAAGGGTCGAATTCAGTTCGATGAGGATCTGCTGAAATTAAGTCGCAATGCAATTGCCGTTGACGTTCAGGTTGGTATGAGTCTTGGTCGAGCTACTGAGGACCACTGAATTTACTGCATGTCTTTCAAGGAGGGTATCTGATTCGATATTTCAGTCGGTGTTTTCGAGGTGTTGTTGTGGATTTCAAGTTAACATAGCGAAATGTCTTGTGCATGATGAAATTGAATGATGCTGAGGTACTCGGAATATATCTTGGAGTGGCCGATCAAAACTACAAATGAGAAATCACAACACAGTTATATGTATGCCGGATCTTGACCATGCAGTACGCTCTGACAGATGAGTATGTTATTCATTTGATCAAATATGGTATAATAGGAGAGATGATTGCAGGTAATCGCAGCAATCGGTAATACTCCGTACTCCTTGTGATGTCAAATCACTGACCCCTAATTAGGCAGCCAAGAAGGTGCAGAATGCCCGAAAATTTAGACCGACGGTGTCTCGTAGTTTAATTGAACCGTCCCCACTTAAGCTCCGACTCCTAGGTCGCTAGCTTCCTCGTGTCCCTGATGCTCAATGGAGATGGATCAGGTTATGGATACGGTTACGTCTGTCATGATTGGCCCATAGTTTTGACACCGGTCGCAACCCGCGGACATCAGAGAGTGGAAGTTGGAACAGGCAACAACAGATGAACAGACTCAGAGCGCATCCAAGCGACTCCAAGCGTCAGAGTCAGACTCAGACTTTGCAAGGGCGTCTCGGCACGATCCAGACTCAGACCGACCAGGTGGCGTATCGGGTGGGACAGCACCGCCACCGTCCAAGGGCAGAAGGATTTGACTCGACAGGGGACTGGCGTCGGTGAGATGACTGCATGTAGAGCGTCTGTGCAAGAGAGAGGGCGAAGATGCATGCGGGAAATCGAAATGAAGTGGGCGATCGGGGCAGAAAGCGGTAATGCAGCCGAGCGTCGCTGCCTGAGGACTAAAGCGGTGCCAAGACTCGGATTGACCCATGAGGGATTCCCCCCCGTTGCTTTTTCTGTCTCGCCGCTGCTCGTTGCTTTTTCTCGCGAATTTCCACTTTTTAGCTTTGCTTGTGTTTTTTTCTCTCTCCCTAACTGCATCTTCCCTTCAACTCACCTGGCAAATCCACTTCGCACTTGAATCGGAGGACAGTTCATCGGCATCCCCCGTCGTTCGTTCTCCTGGGTCCCGCTACGGCCAGCCAGCCTTATAATCGACTCGATCTTCTGCATCCATCTTCATCTCCAGCATGCTATTGTCTCGAGCCCTTGCTTCCTTAAAATGTCGCTGGGCAATGTCTAGAGGCTAACCGTGGCTGTCCCATCTTGCATTCGTGCTACCTTCTGCACGATCATCGTGTCCTATTCTCCGGGAGACTGCGATCGGCGGACATTCCTTTGAACTTTGACCCTCGTTGTGCGAACAATAAGGCCGCCGTTGCACGCGCGGGCTGATTGTTACCCCGAATCTCGATCTCCAGTCACCTTTGGAACTCGCTGCCTCCTTCCTACCCTACCCCTCGCGTCGGACGTTCGGCTTCTTGACGATACTCGATCGGCCTGCATTCCAAACGGTTCGGATCGGCGGTATAGCGGGGGGCCGCGTGCTCTCGCTTCCATTGTCAGGATGTTTTCCGCTTTTCTTCGCTCAGCGGCGGACATCAAGTCCCGCATTCCGTTGCTCAAGGATGTTCATTTGAATTTCATCTTCCTCCATTACACCTACATCATCTTCATCAGCCTGGTTACGTCCGTCATCATCTATCCCGGTAGTAATCTCGACTACATCGATGCTCTCTTCTTCTCTGCGGGTGCGGCCACCCAGAGCGGGCTCAACACCGTTGATTTCAACCTGTTGTTCACCTACCAGCAAGTCATCTTGTATTTTGTGTCTATGTTGACCACCCCGATCTTCATTCATACCATGTTGGTCTTTGTGCGACTGTATTGGTTTGAAAAACGGTTCCAACATGTCGTTCGAGACGCCCGAGCGTTGCGTCACACCCGGTCCCGATTGCGCACCATCACCGAGGACAAGGATCCTGAGGCGTATAACAGGGAGGAGAATGGCGTGGGGAACCGCTCAATTGTCGTGATGCGCAACACCCAGGAAAATACTGGCGAAAAACCTCAGGAGCAACCCCCTTCCCCAGAAATCAGCGACTCGGGTTCTGCCTCGGGTGCCGGCAAAGACGAGAGCGTTTCGGAGGACGAGGAGAACGGACAAAGAGGCAGACTGGGTTTTGGTCTAGGAAGCCTCCGGTTTCCCACTCAGCTAAGTCCTGACCAGCATATCGCGTTTCTAGAGAACCAGCGGAAGAATACCGGAGCGTTGCGTATCCCGAGCCCGAGGGAATACGATCGTGGCGGCGTGCCCCAGGTGCTTGAGGATCAGGAGATCCAGGAGGTTCCATCACCTCGGACCAACGGTCGTGACGAGGCAGACGACCGGCATTCGGAGGAGGGAGATCGGGTGGGACCTTTAGGCGCACCGCACATCACTATCAACGAGCCGGACATGGTGCGGACTAGGACAAGAAACTCGACTTTCCCGCGACTTGACACCCGCCCAACGATGCATGAAACGAAGGATGTCAACGATCCGTCGCCATTGCAACGTACAACCACCCGGAGACCTACCCTTACCAGCGTATACCGCTCGTTGACGCAGGAACGAGACCGAAACACGCTTCCGTACCTCAGCTGGAACGCTACGGTCGCCCGCAACTCCAACTTTGTTGACTTGACCGAAGAGCAACGCGACGAGCTGGGTGGTATTGAATATCGCGCGCTGAAAACACTGGCAGTTGTCTTGATGTCGTACTACGTTTTGTTTCATGTTCTGGGAATTGTCTGCCTCGTGGGATGGATTATGACCACGCATTGGGGCTCCGCGGTGACCCAGATCGGCCAGGGCCGACCGTGGTGGGCGATCTTCACCGCCGCATCGTCCTTCAACGATGTCGGTTTTTCTATCACGCCCGATTCGATGATGTCGTTCCAGGACGCCATCTTCCCCTTGCTGCTTTTGACGTTCCTGATCATCATTGGTAATACAGGTTTCCCTTGTATGCTTCGACTGATAATCTGGATGTTGTCCAAATTCACCCGCAAGGAAAGCCCTCTCTGGGAAGAATTGAGGTTCCTGCTGGATCATCCTCGTCGCTGCTTCACTCTTCTTTTCCCTCGCAATGCTACCTGGTGGTTGTTTGCGATTTTGATTGCCTTGAACGGGATCGATTTGATATTCTTCATCATCCTGGATCTGAACGATCCCACTGTCACCCGTCTTCCCGTTGGTATTCGCATTTTAGACGGGTTGTTTCAGGCAGCCTGCACTCGAACCGCTGGGTTTTCGGTCGTATCTTTGTCCGAGATCCATCCTGCCGTGCAGGTGTCATATTTGATCATGATGTATATCTCTGTTTTTCCGATCGCCATTTCCCTGCGACGAACCAATGTGTATGAGGAAAAGAGTTTGGGCGTGTATGCCGACCCGGAAGAGGATGATGATGACAATCAGACTGCGCCCAGCTATATTGGAACTCACTTGCGACGACAACTCAGTTTCGATCTTTGGTACGTGTTCCTGGGGCTGTTCATCATCACCATTGTCGAGGGGGACCGTCTACAGCGCACGGATCAGTATAACTTTCAAATCTGGTCGGTCCTCTTTGAAGTGGTCTCCGCCTACGGTACGGTTGGGATGTCTCTTGGCTACCCGGGTGTCAATGCCTCTTTTGCCAGTCAATTCCGAACCCTGTCAAAATTGGTCATTATCGCCATGCAAATTCGTGGCCGCCATCGTGGCTTGCCCTATACCTTGGATCGGGCCATTCTTCTCCCGTCCGAGCATTTGCATCAAGATGAAATTACCGACGCCGAGCGACGCGTGCGCCGACGGACCTCCAGCTTCAGCCAGATGCCGTCGACCGACCGGCAGGACAATGGCACAACATCGGGCATGGATGCTCGAACCAATGGCGACTCGATTCTCCGACGACAGTCCACTCGACGATCGCAGCGATCGCAGCGGTAGAATCTGTTAGATAGTTCCATAGACGATTGGCGTTGAGCGGCTCTAACGTGTTTTGGCACTTTTTTGTGATATCACTTTACGGTTGAATTGAGCGTTCTTGTGTGCACTTGTACTATCTTTGCGCCTTGTACATGACTTGCGTTGTCACTTGACTGTGGCAGATGTATAATTCCATGTAAATCACGCAGCAGGCTGCGTGCTCATCTAGACTCTAGAACCCACTTGTAATAGTTGGGGCGTTTCATCTCCAGGCTCTTCGGTTAACCTTTTCTTGGCAAGTGCTTATTTCGCTGGTGCCATTTTTAATTGGGACCGATCAATCCGAGCGAGCAGCCAGCATGTGGATCAAGGAAATGTGTAGAACTGCAAAGATTCAGGAGGGCTTTTCTATTGCTATTTACTAATCTGGTAACCTCATATACTTCACAGTGTGTCTGTGTTGGCCGGAGTTGTTCCCGTTGAGCTGGACGGCGCTAGGCCTATCCCGGCCATGGCGTCAACAAAGGGTGCAAACAGAGCATACACCCCAGACAACAAGGCCATCAGGCACCAGGCACTTTGGCCGGCTATCTTTCCCGGGGACATCGATGGAAATCCTACTGAATATGACACTACGGTGTACAGTCTCCAGGTCCACCGTCGGTCTGGATCGTTGAGCTCATGTTGTCATCCCTGTTGCCAATGCTCTGAATGCAGCACCCATTGCCTAATCAGGCCATGATCGGTCATCGGTTTCACCTCGTGCATTCTGGATGACGACATCCCAACAGCTCGTCCTGGCCAGCCGCGCATTTCTTATCTCGACACCTCACTCGCCAAGTCACGGTCTCTCCATCCACAAATTCATCTGATTTCCTTTGCGACCAACACGACACATTCTTTCCACCTCGTACGAGTTTCTAAATTTCTCACACCGTCAATTCGTCGTCCGAGACTGCGCTACCGCCATCCCTGGCTTCCGAGACAGCTATCATGACAGACAAATCATATCCCATCCCAGGGGACGACTTTTCTCGCTACGGCGGCGCCACCTCCCATCTTCCCAAGTTAGAAACAAACGACCTTCAACATGCAGGACCGCCTCCACCTCCCGGGACTGCCCATAATCCTCCGCCGCCACCGCCGGATGCACCATGGTATGACCCGCGCGGGTGGTCGCTGCGGACCAAACTGATCGCGGGGGCTGTGGCGGTCGTGGTCATCGTGGCCGTCATCGTAGGGGCGGTGGAAGGGACCAAAGCAAACCGATACCCGGACTACACGCAGCTGAATTACAAGCTGGTCGATACGTATTCGGGGACGTCGTTTCTGGACCGCTTCAATTACTACTCGGATGAGGATCCGACAAACGGATTCGTTCAGTATGTACTACCTGCCCTTCTTTCGTGGCTTGTGTCACCGATACCTGTTCCCCTCCATGCTGATACATATTCGCCCGATCTAGATACGTCGATCAAACGGCTGCTAATGCGTTGAACCTGACGCATGCTACGGATTCCTCCGTCGTGCTGAAAGTCGACACGTCAAATGAATTTGCGGCTAACGGCCGGCAGTCTGTGCGACTGGAATCGAAGACCACCTATGACAGCGGCCTGTTTGTCTTTGACATTCTCCATACGCCGTATGGATGTGGTACGTGGCCGGCACTGTGGTTGACCGATCCCCTCAATTGGCCGACAAACGGCGAGATCGACGTCATGGAGACGGAGAACACGGCGACCGAAGGCAACGCTGTAACCCTGCACACTACCAGCGGTTGCAACATGAAAGTTAAACGGAAGCAGACCGGGAGCGTGGCGTATACTTCCTGCGACAATAGCACGAATGGGAATGCGGGGTGCGGCGTCCAGGGTGAGCCAGAGACATCGGGCCAGGCATTCAACGAGAACGGGGGAGGAGTGAGTCATCCCATCCTTCCACATCTCATGCATCTACCCACCATCCTAACAATTCCGGACAGATATACGCCCTAGAACTTCGCGACGCAGGCATCCGCGCCTGGTTCTTCACCCGGGACACGATCCCCGAGGACATCTCCAACTCCAGCGGCAGCCCAGACCCCTCGACCTGGGGCACCGCGCTCGCCGACTTCCCCAACACGGACTGCGACATAACCTCGCACTTCCGCAATCAGAGCATCGTGGCGAATATCGCCCTCTGCGGGGATCTGGCCGCCCAGCCGCAGTTCTACACAGAGCAGTCTCATTGCCCGGGAACGTGCAGTGATTTCGTGGCGCATAATCCGGCGAACTTTACGCAGGCGTATTGGGAGTTTCGGGATTTCAAGGTTTATCAGGCTCAGTAGTAATGGGTTTTGATTTCCGTTTAGTGTTCATTGGGGGTGGTTTTTTGATTTGGGCGTTTGGATGGAGTCATTCCCTCTTTTCCTTTTTTGCTGTTGCTTTTCCGATTTGCTCGATGTTCCTACAACGACGCAATGTATACCTAGCTTGGAAGCTATGACTGGCATGATGATGGAGTGGATAGAGTTGGTCTTGCTTGTTGATGTCCTATCAGGTCATCTCCAGTGTTCTTACTATAATTAGAGTGTGGGTGGCTTTTTGCTTTCCGTTTGCTTAGATCCTGTTGGTGTTCTACAATGCGTTAGTCGATTCTTCCTCTTACCTCATGTTAATTCTCCGTATTCCTCCATCAACTCCAGTACCTTTCCTTCTACTGGACAGGTGTCGTTTGCTTGACGCGCAGCCTAGACCCTTCAAACTCGGCCGGAAATTGGAGAAAGGCAATAGATGCCTAGGCAGTGAATGCAAAGATCCGAAACCTCGTACTCCCAACAACAAAAGCTATTCCTGGAGGAAAGACAACTCAAGTCAAGACATGATACGTACACGCTCTTCCCTACCCATGGAACTTTGTGTATTCTCGTCCTGCTCTACCCCGGTTTACACGGTTACGTGGTACGTAGTATTGACATGCACAGTACTTTTGATCGTGAGTTTCATATGTCAATACAGATTGACCAATTGATGATGGGGGGGTTACAGCGAATACAAACAGATTCGTCGGCCTCATCCCCCCTCCCAGGATGTGGTTCTCGCTTTTTCTCTTTTTAGGTATATGCAGATACGACTGGGATGAATCCATGGATGTGGACGGGGACGTGTAGGAGTGAATGCCTGAATACAGGAAGTTAGGCCGGGTGGGTGGGCATGAGGGGTTCAGGTCCGATTGGCGTATGGCATCATTGTCACCATTCCACCATGCATACGGAATGAGGAAATGTGTTGTAGAAGAAAGTGGATTGGGTGAGTAGGCAGGCACGTAGGTAAGGGGTCTATGGTTACCTATTTCGGTGCTGAGGGGCGAAGATGTTTGGGTTGATTATTGGGTTGCGTGTGTGTTTTTGTGAATTGGGGAAAGGGGTGGGCAAATGTCTCTGGTGATCTAGATTCGCCAGAATGAGGTTATACAAGGTACAAGGTAGAGGGAGTGGATTGGGTACGGCCTGGGTGAAGGAGGATGGGATTGGAAAGGCTGGAACCTGCTGTGGTCCTCGGGAGTGTGCGTTTACATGGATCTGGAAACGAATGGAAAAAAGGGTAAAAAAAAAGAACAAGTAAAAGAAGGAACAAGCGAGGGAGTATAGCATGACACTGCAGATGTGCGTTTGCTTAGAGCGCTTGACTTGGGAGATTGTGGGTACCTTGCCCCCCCATTGACATATATCTATTCCTCGCTCCTCCTCACTGCATTCCCCAACTCGCCTCAACCATCTTTCTCTCTTATACTGTTTTTTCTATATATAACACTCCTCTATCCTTTCTGTCCTTTCCTTCATATACCGTTATGGCGATTTCTTTTCATTGTGGTTTTGGTTGAGCTTTGCCCCGAGCTATGCACCCATTCCATCTGCACAGACTCTTCGACAGCATGATCTGTCTTCGTTTTGAAACCTTCCCAGTACTGTCCAATTTTTGTTCTCGCTTCATTATCGCAGTTTCAAGACCGTTCTGCTGCGAATTCCAACTCCCCTCTTTATTCAGCATGGCTATACCTCCTTGCTCAATCATATTTGCAGATGTTACAGTGAGTTTAATGCACCCTGAATTTTGCCCCGAGTAAATGTCCCCGACATGTGTTGCCATTGATCCTGGGCTCGTGGAGTTGCGAGCCTAGCATCGCATCATCTGTTTCGATCCACTCGTTTGTTCAAGCAGCAGGGGTTCTGTCGATGGCCCATACTGTGATCCCATGCGAGACCTTTCAACAAAAACTTTTAACAACTATTTGCCATGCTTCCCGTACTTGAACTGTCTCGAAGGTCTCATTATTTTGTTGTATGCGTTGCCTTTTCTACGACCACATACCGCCTCTTGTTGCACTTTAAGTTCTGCTCTTTTGACACCTCTGAGTGATGTGGCGCCACTGGACTTCGGGCGGTGCGCGGACTATCATGTCCAATGGCCTATGGTCGAAGGTTCTCCCCCCACGTTGATGGCCCACTCTCACCGATCAACTTTGCTTGCTCCTGCTGGGGGGTAGAAACAGACACACCTTTTCCACAATTTCTGCTCCGTCACGGATCGATGTTGTCGCGGAGGAGAGGGTCATCCTGATCTGCGGGTCCTGAACAGGGGTATCGAGCGGACTTTTTGAGAGACATGCTGGGAGTTTTGGCGCGTTTTTTATTGACTACTGGCTTCACTGACACCTCAGATGAATGCCTGACGAATGGGCCTCCGAGAATTGTGGATGTCAATGACTTCTCTCTGGGGTCTCCGTTGACAGTGTGAGCAGATGCTGCAAGCAGGGTAGTCTCGACCACGAGGTACATACACCACCGAGGATGCTTTGTTTGAACAAAAAGCACACGTCAGTATCAATTGCTCTAGGTTGCTGATTTTACATGTCGCCCCTTTCCATTCTCTAATCGATGTTGCCTGACTGTGTTTGCTAACAAGATATATGCGATTAGATACAAATCGACCTAGTACCATTCCCGGGCTCACCAACGAATGTTCTGACATTCATCCATTTTCACGTTAAACTTGGAGACTGATCTGCCACCGGAGAAGCTCCACCGAGATAATAACTCCGCGATCAATACCTTGATGAAGGATCGTCCTTTTGGTGGTGGGACTTGCATTCCCGGACACGGCTAGCTGGGCTGTGTCGTCCAAGGTCACCAGAGTCTTTCCTCTCAGGCTTCCAAGTCAAATTCCTTTCCTGCTCCAATCGTGGCTCTTGTAGCAAGGAAGGGTTGGATGTTCCTGGACCAATGCGCAGTTGCCAATCCTACAGCTTTGATGCGGTCACGAAGTGAGCTTTCTGAAACCTATTTGTATTCGTTTTCCGTTTTCATGTGAAAGAAGATTGGTACTAACTAGCCTTGTTGTTGTAGGTAGAACCAGAAGACCTTTGTATACACGGTTCTGTCAAAGAACACCCTTGATTCGATTGCTGCAAACCTCAAAGCAGGCAGATACCTGGGGCCTCTTTCCTCTGCATTTAGGCCAGAAACTCTCCATGATCAGGCGAGGTATTCATTGCCTTCCTCGGGATTTACGAGTCTCCGTGCTCTCAAAGCGATCAGCAAAGCCGTCATGGCACGTATCTCTCTCCTTAACCCACGACTCGATGCTGACTATGAATACCATGTAGAAGTGGTATAATACATTTGCGCTGCTCGATTGCGGTAGCCGAACGGAAGACGATAGCACCTTCAAGAATGTCCAGAGGAAAAGACGGTCGAGCTCCGTTGATGATATCCTCGGTCTCAACGTGCCTTATTCTAGGCGATCTGCGCGCAGAGATAATCCCTCAGCCTTCATGGCTCATGCCATTGCTTGTGGAAATGCAGCAGAGAGGACATTATGGACTATCATTTATCCGAGCGCATTCGTCTGCGATATGATAGTCTGTGATGTGTGAGGTATTCTAACAGTTGTCGAACAATCTAAAGAGCGTCCAAGCATCGGACAGAAGAGTATGTGAGTGATTCTTAGTCGACCTGTTGATCCATTTCTAATGCACATGAATCCGCAATAGGGACAAAGCTTCAGAGATCTGTTGTCCCCACGTTAGCTGCATAGACGGAGCTAACCCTTACTCGAATACACACTCTAGTGCTGGATAACCCACTCAATCGATTGATCTTCTGACGTGGTGCTTGTCCATACAAAGCCCCAGAATTATTTCGTTCCTCTATTCCCTGTCCATGCGCCAAATAGCTGACCTATTGTGAGCCACCAGGACGCCGACTCGGTGAAATGATGCAAGAGAGGACAGGGGATGCAGCAAATCAAGATCTGATTTGGAGCGCGAGATGGCTCATGCAGATCGATAGCGGTATGTGAACATGTTAAACAACCTCTTTCGTCCGCTCTTGTGGGTTTCTTGTCTGAGAACATGGATGACCTGAGTAGACAAACTGAAATCTTGTTCGTCGGTGAATCCTTTGGTCTTTGATCAGTGTTTGCAATAAATCGTTTGATTAAGCTTGAAGTTTCAGGCTTCAGGTCCAACAAAGCCTGCCGTCACCAGCTTTCTTCGGTTTGAAATTGCATTCGGGCTTGTCGCTGCCATAGACGGATTTGCTCGACACCTGTGGTCTTCCAAAAGACAGTACTCCGGGCTGTGCCGTGAGGCTTTACGATCTCTCTCTTTTCAACAATAACGCTGTGTATGTCCAAGAACATAAAGATTCGACCCAATGGGTGAACTGCACATCTCCTTACCACATATTCGAAATCTTGAACACTCGCAAGAAATAGCAAATGCTTCTCACCAAGGAACAAAACCATGTCCCCAGATACCCCATGAGGGAAATCAGTGACCCCTCCCCGCATTCAATCGAAGACTCTTGACTACTGTCCGATTCCATCATGGCGATTTGACCACGGCACGACCAGATGTGATGCTCCACACTACACGGGAAGACAAGACCCCGACTATGGCGGCGGCTGGTTTGCCCAGATCATATCATATCTCCCTCCAAATACACAGTATCTCAGGTCTAGTCCGGCTTGTGCGCTTTCGTCTAACTTCTCCAAACAAAACAACCGTCCTCTATTTCGAATACTACTAAGGTTTGCGACCCCATTGCGTTGGCATACTCCGGAGAAGTTAGACGTTCATAGTAAGCAATCGTCCTCTTCGTGCCTGCGCCTAGTTAGCGTTCGTTATGAAGGAAATCCACGGAAACTCACATGAGGCGGTCAGGAGCAGGTAAATTCGGATCCTTTCGAGTCCCTTCCTTCTTTTACAATCTGCCATTCCAACGTCCACCTATCATTTCCATTCCACAAAGATATTATGAAATCGGGGCTAGAAGGAGAGAAGGAG